ACCAGAGTTGCCCCAGAACCTCCTGAACACTACCTGGGACTCTCCCCCACCTCCCAAAATAGATGCACACCTGAAACATTACATTTAATGCAATGTTATTTCAAGGGGTGGGGGAAGTGACCCAGCAGGAAATCTAGGCTCTCTGGGGAAATGTGTGTGGGGGTGGGGGGGTCACACCTGCCCTTGCTGTGACCCCTCTCTTCCTCTTAGCTCACTCCCAGCTTGCAGCCCTGTCTGTCACCATCACTGCCACCAGGGAAAGAGAATGGGGGTGGCAGGTGATGGAGTTGGTGAGGGAGGTGGCTCCGGAGAGGACGAGACCCATGAGGACTAAGGAACAGAAATAAGAGGTGGGGGCAGCAGGGCAGGCCGATGTCCCCTGGGGGGCGCTGACACCAATGCTGTTACTTCACATGCAGCATTATCATCAGTGGGAGAAGGGACAGCCATTTAAAGAGCTGAAAGAGGGGTCGGCAAGTGCAGGGGTGAGGCCCCTGCCTCGCACAGAGCCGACTCTGCTTCAGTTCCAGCACCAGCACTTCCTGGTCCCCCAGGCACCCCCTGGTATGGCACCAAAGTGAGACAAAGAAGTTTCTGGTTCTATCTCCTGTGAGTTTTGATTTCCCAAAGGGAGCACCAGCTCAGCCTGGGAAACCCTTGGTTCCTGGGGACTTAGCGTGCCAACTTTTGGTTTGCTTCTGAGCCAAACCCAGCAATGTTCAGGGTTTCCTCCTGGCTCTGTGCTCAGAGGGATCACTTATTGGTGGGTACAGGGGATAATATGGGGAGCCAGGGATTGAACCCGAGTTGGTCACATGTAAGGGCAAGTGATGTAACTGCTGTACTATCACTCCGGCCCCTTAGTGGACCAATTTGGGACTTCGCTGACCAGAGATCATAATCCACCTGGTCAGAGTGAGTTGAGTCTGATTCCTTGCTTGGATCACCAGGAATTGATACAAAGGCTTGATGTGTATAAATCAACAGCCGCCCACACAAAAGTGTCGTCCAAGGTACAAATTCGGAGGCTAAGAAAGCGGTTAAGTGAAAATTTTCTATTTAAAAAAAATCACATTGAATACTCTTTTCATGGGAGCATAACATTTAATGTTTCCGGCCAGCAATCTGCTCAATTCCTGCTTAACAGAAATGAAACCATCCTGGTCTTCACACCCATCGCCTACAACAAGTTAGCGACTTGGAATCGAGAGCTGTTTCCAGGTGAGCACAAACGCGGGACAGGTTTCTGGGTCCCCACAACCAGCCACTCCCGAGCCTCTGAGGGAGTTTCAACAGCATCTCTACACTCATTTTGGTCCACTAAATGGATTCTCCTTTTAGGCAAGGACAAAAGCAGAAGCTCCTCCACCACCAAACCTTTGAGCAGAGGCAGGCTGCCAGCCCAGAGGAGCCTGACTCGGGGGCCACGACATAGAAGGTCTTGCAAATAACACAGCCCCCAGAATGCTCGGTGTCCCGGGAAAGAGCGGGCAGACAGGTACCAGCGGGGTGCAAGTCCAAGAGCAATCCCAGCTGGCAAGAAAAGCTGACTTCCAGTTCCAGTTCCAGGCAAGCCCCTAGCGTTAATTTTAATACTGAGCGGACTGAATGGAACTGAGCCCGAGACAACTGTTGATGTTTCCCTTCTGCTTCTGAACCAAGTGGGGCGAGGGGGGCGTGGACTGTGAGCCTGCCTCTGTGACGAGGGTCCCCTGTCTGGCGGCAAGTGCCCTGAGCTGAAAAGATGAAGGGAGGCACACTGGTTGCCATCAATAGGACTTTGGCCCTCGGAAGAAAGACGGGGTCAGGCAAGAGCTAAGTGGCCTCTGGTCTAGTCGTAACCATGGGATCATTCTTGTTCCCTCCTGCCCTGCACTCCACTGACACCCTTGAATGTTCAGATGGGAATGTTCAGATGGCAAGTGTGGATTCACAGAGAACTCAAGTCCTCTCTGAGCAGTCAGAGAAATCTCAAGTGCTTCTGAATAGCAGAGAGGCTGGAAACAAAAATGCCAGTGGATGAGCCGCTGTCCCTCTTTAATCCGTTTCACAGGAGGAGCTTGTTCCTCATCTCGTCCTGGGAAGCACACTGGCAGATGGAGCAGCTCCTGTGCGGGATGGTGCAAACTCATTCACGGGGGCTTCGAGCAGGGGAGAGGGTGGCGGAGTGGCGGACTCGTGCAGGGTAGTTCTCACGGCACCTGCGGTCACCCAAGCAGAGACGTCCTTCCCCTGGACAGAACCTTGGCCGACTGCAGGCCTGAGGTGCATGCTGCAGCCGCACAGACCCAGAGCTCACCTGCAACAGAGCCAATGCCACTTCCCTTTCCCCAAGAGTTTTCCAGAGTAATTAATAGAGCTACTTCTTACCTACAGTCTACAATATATTAAGGGATTCTGAATCTGGCAACGTTCTCTAGCATTTTGGCATTCAAAATATCTCAAATAACATCTTCACTGTTAATCTACTTGCTAAAAATTATTCGCGCTTTAAGAAGACCAATCCCCTCCCACCCCCCCACCCCAGGTTATGGCAATTATTACAGAAGAAATCCACTAGCCTTAGATGGAATAGAAAGAGGGCAGAGAGAGACTTTTTCTTAAAGACGAGAAGCAGGAATCACGCAGTGGGCTGGGGAGCTGGCCCATGCAGGCAGCACCCCTATTCCAACTGCCCAGTTTTTGGCTCCTACTTCCCTTTCCCACCCAACCACGTCAGAGAGAGGCCTCTAAGGCCCTGCCCATTCCAAACCTCCAGTGGCCCTTCCCTTGGCCCGCAATGAAATTCTCTCCACACATGCACGAGGAACGGGATGGGTCTGCCCTGAGCCCCAGACCCTGGGGGCCGGGTTTCTGCTCCCTGACTGAGGCAACTCAGGGACATGGAGACTGAAGGTTTATACTAAACAAAGGCTTCCTGGACACAAGGATAGCAAAGCCATGCATCACACCTAATTTTGATCGTTCACAAAGCCTAATTCTTTCTAGGGTGTATAAAGAAGGCTTTCATAAGCAGGTTTTGAGAAAAAAAAAAAAGCAAAAGCAAAAGAACACAGTAACTGTGGCTGAGAATTGACTGGGAACAGGAAGTGTTTGGGCAAACCCAGGCTTCTTAGTAATTTTACAAGGAAAGGCCATCATTGATCTGTAATGCTCTTTCTTAGCTTTCTCCGGAAACTCTCAGAAAAAAGCAAGTTCACTTTCCATGAGAGGCACTGAGGCTGTTCAAGTCTCAGTCACCCGAGTGATGCCTTCCCCATTTAACATTCACTGTCTTTCCAAATTCCTTGTCATAATTCGAGGCTCCTGAGTGTCTCCTATGGTGATTTTGTACTTCTGCTCGAATGTATAAGGTGAAGTACTAGGAGCACGTGCAGGAAGAAATAGAGAGTAATCACTCCTCTTTCCTGCAAGAGAAAATCAAATGACTCCCCTCTCCCTGCTGCCACAGAGGTAGTTCTCACTTGCTGCATTTAGAAACCGGCCCTGTGATAAAATCCTGTTCCAAAATCAAACCGGAGATGGTTGCTGCACCAACCCTGCTCCTGCCAGGGTTTCCGAGGGAAAATGAGTTCCCCGAGCCCACTGCACTGTGCTTCCTAAAACAGCACCTGAGTCCACTCCAAGCCCTCAGGCCCGTGACCCTGATGCCACCTCCTACTTCCAAGGTAACCCTGCACCTTATCCCCCAGAGAAGACAGCCCATGGCAGTGTCCATCCTCATGTTTATTTCCATAGCGATAACTCAGCAACCGTGGGGACAGCAAAGAACTCTCCTTCCCTTCCAAGCTGAATCCCCAAACAATGAACTTCCACTGTCCCCAGGCTTCTATTGATTTAACATCTACTAAGTCAGATGCCCAAGTGAATGGGTTCCCTCTAGGTTTCAGAAGACAGTTTGCCTGTCTGGGGAGTATTCACGACGGGCTCCAATTCCTAAACCCAGGCATGCGACAGCTCACGAGACACATGACCCGCACGCAGATGCCTTGACCCTACATTCAAGAGAGATGTTTTTCCTGGTGTCTGGATTCTGATCTCTCCTTAAAAGGCGGAAACCACATCCCACACTCCGATGCAACTCAAAGTGTCTGAAAACCAAGGAATGAGAAGAGGGGAGCAGAAGGAACCCGGGGTGCATAGGTGCCAGGTGCTGGGGCAGGCAGGGAGAACACGGCCGCTGTGCTGGCTGGTCAAGGCCGATGTCCCTGAGGCCAGCAACAAGGAAGTCAAGGACGGGGCTGAGTTTGTTATAAAAGAAGCCACACGGGTTTAGGAAACGTACAAAATGAACGAGCCAGTGACGGCGTCTGTACAAAACTTGTGCTTAACGCTTTGGTGTGTCTCCTTGGCCAATTTGTCAGCCACCAAAGCCCATTCCTGATTATCAACATACAATCAAACCAAAATATTGAAATACATACTTTTTTTTTCATAAGAGAGAAATAAAGGCACAGAAACCTGCCAAAATAGATTCCCCCCCCACCCCGCGTAAGAATAGTATGCTTGATTAAAATAGTTTATCACTAGTAAAACTTGTATCACTTGAGCAGACAATACAAATTTGTTTTTTAAAAAATGACATTCACTGAATTCTGGGTCTGTGCATTCAATGTGAATAATCAAAATATATATTACAATTAATGGTCTGTAAAGATTTCTATTGGGGTTTTCTACAACATATTTGTATCTCAGATGAGCAGTACCATACTAAAGTCTTAGGAATCAGCTGCTCCTTTTTGTAATGTCTGGAAATTCAGTCTCTCTCTTCCTGCAAGCTCAAAGATATCCAAGGTAAGCAACGTCTAAGGGACTTTTAACATTCTGTGACTCCTATACCCCCATCATAGGCAGCCCTGTGCACTGAACTCCACACCTAGGAAACTCAATCCACTGTATCACACTCTAAGGAATACTGGTTATTCTTCTGGTGGGTTTGCTTTTAAGCTCAGCTTAAATTTTGTCAAGGAAACCATTTCACAAGAGGGTCCATCACAACCTACAATCCGCAATATTCCTTATTTATTAGAATCTGAAGATGTCCATATTACATCAAATATAAATATATATTATATTTACATTTCCTTCTTAGCTTTCCAATTTAGGTGAGTGTATTTATAGATAATGCCACTAACATCATCTCTATTCTAATCCTCAGTGCAACTGGCATTTTCCTTCCATTAGATGCAGATACGATCAGCCAGCATCTGAAAAGAGGTGGTCTATCCTTTTTTAAAAAATAAAAATCAAGTCTAGTTATTCATTAACGTAGATCTAAGAATTTTCTACAAGATTTTTTTTATGTTTTGTTTTGTTAGTATTTCAAAATACCTGAAAAATGTGGTCCCTTTTTGCAGGATTAGGTCTCTACTTGGGGACAAGAAAATAAAATATGCAACTCAGAAAGGAACAGAGCCCAAAGGAAAGAGAACCTGCTTGTTAGCTCATTAATCTGTTTAGTAAAGATCTGTTGGAAATGTCTGAATGCTGTACAGTATCATACACGAGCGAGCTTCAGCCTCCCGTAGCTGGTATATCCTCTCAGACGGCCCCGGCCCCACAGTCTGGAGCTGCCTCCGCGGCCCTGGCACTGGGTCACTTGCGGTCATCGATGGTTTTAATGAACTCTACTGCTGCCGTGAACTGCATCCACCAATAGGACTCCTCTCCGGAAAGACAGCTGGCATAGAAGCTGCTGATATACTGAACCGTAGACAGCAAACAAGGCGGGTTTGCCTAGAGAAGTGAAAAACGGAAACAGAAGGGTATACTCAGATGTACAACTCTGACTGGGGGGGGGGAGAGAATCACTGAACATTTTTTAAAGGTTTTTTTACAAAAGAGAAACCAGTCCTTTTAAGGAGAAACCCAACCATCTTTTCTGGAAGTCATCTGCAAAGTCACTAAGTTACTATGAGTGACAATAGTACCTGGGTACTTAACACTGTTGGTCCTTAAAGAATCTGAAAATCCCAGTGGCTTTGATTTTCAACACCCCAGGATCATTGAATGTTATATAAGGACATAAATGCTATTGGCAAAGTACTTTATATCCTGTTAGAGAGTACAAAGAGGACAGTGGAAAAAAGTGAAAATTCCAGAAAAGGTAAAAAGGTCATTTGCTTTCTCACCTGCTCCAAATAGAAAGGACACCAGAGCCTGAAGCAGGCAGGAGGCCTGCCGAGGCCTGTCCCTTAGGATGCCCTTAGCCTGGCTCCGAGTGGGGTTAGAGGTATCCCACTTGGAAGAGTATAAGGCAAACAGGAGTGTGGTTGAACCCAGGTTCAATCCCAGCATCCCATACGGTCCCCTGAGCACCACCAGGAGTAATTCCTGAGCGCTGCCAGGTGTGTTCTAAACACCATTTAAAAAAAAAAAAAGAGGAAACTTTCATTTTTTTAAGTGAAAAATGTATGAGAGGCCAGCATTTAAAAAACAAGGAACTGGTTTTTAACAGTACCTTGGGCTCGCTCTTCAAGCTGTTCTCCCCTGAACATGTATCTCGTTTGCTTGTCTATTTTTTCCACTCTGGAAAAAATCTCTATTGAACACAGATTTCCTCTTTTTTTCTCCTCTCACATCTTTCTAAGCAAGTTTCCTTCAATTAAACTACCGTGCAATCTTGCCAGCAGAGAAGTGGCCAGAATGACATCTCCAAAAGTACACAACGCCACCAAATCTTCCCAGAGAGACTGGTTGATACTGACAACTCTGGGGCCTTCTGGAAATGAGGGTGGGCGGGGTCCCCTTCTCTGCCTGCAGCCCCAGTGGACGGAAGCCACACCCCACTTTTTCGCCCAGCTCCACAACTGAACTGAATCATAATGCCAAGTATGCCAAGTGCCCAAACTGTTCCAGCTCTACAGCTCCTGGGCCAACTGACACCTCAGAACTTCTTAGTACCGTCAGCCAAGTGGGATCACAGCAAATCAGATGGGAAGTTGCGTAGAAGCCCACCACGCTCAGCGCGCCTGAACAACAATACGGAAGGCTCAGCCAGCACCAACCAGCACTGTAGCTCCTCAGCAAGTGGCTTTTCGTGACATCACTGGGAGATATAACAACGACCACAACTTGATTCTTATTGAGATACTGTGATAATTTCATTTGCCTCTGTGTTGTAACAAACAATATAGCACTGTAGCACTGTCCTCCTGTTGTTCATCAATTCGCTTGAGCGGGCACCAGTAATGTCTCCATTGTGAGACTTGTTGTTACTGTTTTTGGAATGTCGAATGCGGGGAGCTTGCCAAGCTCTGCTGTGTAGGAGGGATACTCCCGGTAGCTTGCCCGGCTCTCCGAGAGGTAAGGAGGAATTGAACCCAGGTCGGCCGCGTGCAAGGCAAATGTCCTACCCGCTGTGCTATCGCTCCAGCCCGTAACAAACAATATGAAATAAATTTGTTTGTGCCTGTAGGGGGGCAGACTGGGACGGCTGATGGGAAACATTTCTGGAGGGAACATCACACTGGTTGGTAGGACTGGTGCTGGAACACCGACGGCCTGAAACAACTGTATTGTGGGCAACTTGGTAAATCATGGTATTAAACTATCTTGCTTCAATTAAAAAAAAAAAGATTAAAGAAATGAAAGTAAAAATATGGTACAGGGCCAGGGAGATGGTTCAAAGGGGTGGACTTTTTCTTCTATGTTCCCCTAACCAGGAACATCAAACCTAAGCAGAACCAATTTCTGCATGTGCTGGCAGGCAGGAGTCCCGGGTTCAATCCCTGACACTCCACGGTCTCCTGAACACAACTGGGAGCGACCTCAAAGCACTGTTAAGTGTGGCCCCAACATCACCAAGTCCCCCTAAAAGAAAACCGAAGAACCTGTCTAACTTCATTGTCTTACTCAATAATAATCATATACCGAACCGCAACCAAGAACTCCAGGCACTTTTATTTGGTTTTTGGATTGTATTTTTTGTTTGTTTTTTGTTTCAGGGCCACACTCAGGTGCTCAGGGAAGTATACATGGTGCCTGGTATAGAACTGGGCTTGACCAGAATCTGGAAAAAACCTGAGTGCCCGAGAACAGATGACTGGTTAAAGAAACTTTGGTACATTTACACAATGGAGAACTATGTAGCTGTTAGAAAAGACGAAGTCATGAAATTTACATACAAGTGGTACTACATGGAAAGTATCATGTTAAGCGAAATGACTCAGAAAGAAAGGGATAGACATAGAAAGATTGCATTCATCTGGGGAACATAAAGTAACAAAATAGGAGACTAACACCCAAGAATGGATGAAATTAGTACCAGGAATTTTACTCCATGGCCTGGAGGCCAACCACACATGCTAGGGAAAAAGGGAGCTCAGATAGAGAAGGGAAAACCAAATAAAGGGTCCGTTGGGAGGACCCTCCCAGGATGGGAGAAGCATGCTGAAAGTAGACTATAGACCAAACATAATTGTCACCCATTGCCTCTTTTGCAAACCACAACACTCAGTAAGAAAGAGAGAACAAAAGGGAATGCCCTGCCACAGAGGCAGGTGGGATGGGGGGAAGAGGGGTTAGAGGGATACTGGGATCCATGGTGGTGGGAAATGGGTACTGGTGGAGGGATGGGTATTTGATCATTGTATAATTGAAACCCAAGCACAAAAATTTGTTAAGTCTACAACTGTACCTCATGATGTCTCGCTAATAAAAATAAAGGAAAAAAAAAAAAAAAGAACTGGGCTTGACTGTTCTGCACAAGCACGGCAGCGACTTAGCCCCGGTACTATCTAATATCTCATCTCTCCAGCCCTCCCAGCACTGTTTTATCAACAGGGAGGCTCGTCGAGGAATTCAGGCCTCCCATTCTTCCTTCTGAGACCCGAACTTCTGGACAGAACAAAACCTGCCACCAGACACTTTCCTCCCGAGTGACACAAAGCTGAAGATTGGCAAGGAGGCCACCGTCCTAACTTCCCGTGCAGCCAGTGTCACCTGCTCAGTGTGCAAACATACCCTCTGAGTAGGGGCGTGGGGGGCCCACCTTGATTAACACGAAGACCAGCACAGGGACGAAGTCATCAGCTCCAGGGACGGAGTCCTCGTTGGCCAGGCTCAGGAGGTTCATGATGGTGGAGCACATTCTCAGGATGCACTGCACTTTGTCCCGGGGCGTCTTGTAAGCACTGATGGTCCGGATTTCTGCCTGTGCAGATGGCCATGGGGCCTCCCGGAGATAAACCTGAGAACACACACATGCGAGAATGTGAGGGCAAGACAGCGCCAACTCGGCGGGCTCTGAGAGCAGGGCCTGGGAACAGGCTGCCACCTTTTTCCATCTACAGTAAAATCAGATGAGGACCCCTCCTCCACCCACCATTTCAGACTAAAATGGATTAAATTTTAAACTTAATTTGCTTTGCATTTTAAAATAAAGTGACCCAGGGGTCAGAGAGATAGTACAGTCAGTAGGGCAGCTGCCTTGCATGGAGCCGACCCGAGTTTGATCCCCGGCATCCCATATGGTCCCCGAGTGCCACCAAGAGTAAATTCTGAGTGCAGAGCCAGTAGCAAGCCCTGAGCAACACCTGGTATGGCCCACAAAAACAAAAGTAAATTAAATTAAGCAAAGTGACCCAGGTACCCATCAATAAGGGCATACAACCGCACCACAAGAACATATATGACAAGGAACCTAGAACTCATAAAATTTCAAACAATTAAGCTTTCTCATATAGGTGGATTCTGTTACTAGTCAATTCTGGAGCATAGCACAGCGGGTAGGGCGTTCGCCTTACATGCGGCCAACATGGCCGACCCGAGTTCAATTCCTCCGCCCCTCTCGGAGAGCCTGGCAAGCTACCGAGAGTATTCGATATACCAGACACAGTAACAACAAAGTCTCCAATGGAGACGTTACTGGGCCCGCTCGAGCAAATCGACGATCAACGGGAGGGCCTTCACCTTTACTAGTCAATTCTAAAGGTACAAATGAGTTCCCTTTAGGGGAAAACAATCTATAAATTAATATATATCTTCATTGCAGTAGTTCTCAAAATAACACATTAAAAACATCAAATATTTATGCACTAGTTCCATTAGTAGGGAAATTACCAGGAAGTTCAAATAGCTGAAAATTTTTCTTTTCATTTTTTTGGTGGTGGGGGGGGAGGGTGTTGGGTGTGGGGGGTGAGCAGAGGGAGTTTTAGCCACATCCAGCAGTGCTCATGGGTTCCTCCTGGCTAGGCACTCATCACTCCTGGTGAGTTCAGGGGACTATATGGGGTACCAGGGATAGAACCCAGGTCAGCCACAAGCTACACCAAGGCTCTGTTACCCCTCCTTTCTCACCTGGGAAGAGCTGTGGAGCAGGTAGAATTGCGGTCATGGGCTGGGGACATGGCTCAGAGAGCCGCAGAGGACGTCATGCCTAAGGCCTATCCCCGGCATAGCCCGGCTCCAGAGTGCCAGCCTGACCCTGGGGCCCCCAGCATGCTCTGAACCAGGTGGTGCTGGTGGCTGAGCGTCAGCAGGAGTGACCCTAGGGGCCCTCCATGCGTCATGCCACCAGTGACCACGGCCACTCCACAGGCACATCAGCAATACTGTCCACACTCTTAGGGATACCACCAGAGCCCTTCATCAAACAGAACGCAGCGAGGGCTCCCCGCATCCCCGCATTCAGCCCCTTCTCCTGGCCGAGGAGACTCAGCTCTCAGAGGGACTCCAAGATGCTGCCGTTACACACTCAAAGGCAAGCATCACCAAAGGGGTTTACAATTTCTGTGCTCTCTGTCACTGCATATGGCCCCCCAAATATACCAGGATATGTCCTGAGAACGGCCGGGTGTGACCCAAAACAAACAAACAAAAATCAACAGGTAAAATAAAGGGGAGGGCAAAGGAAGTGGACGGCAAATAAACTGTATGTTCACACGTTCGTTTATGAATCTGCACAACTGAAACCACCGTGATATTAAAATCTTCTAGGCTTCAGAAAAAAACATTTCTGTGTTGTTCTCATGGAAGATGAGTCACATGCACAGAGAAGCCTCTTTCAACTAATAACCCACTCACGTTCTGGAAACCTCACCTCTGGTATCTGGAGCGCTCTGTGATTTGCAGTCACGACTTTAGACAATCGCTGAATATGCTCATGAAGAACCCTGAAATCCCCCCCAAAAAACAGGCACATAAATACAGATTTCAGAAACAAAGATAAACAAATGGGATCTTTTTATTTTCCCGGAACTTTTAAAACTGGTTTATTTCAAGGTGGAGAGTAACGTGACAGTTACGACTACCATGCACCCAAGGAGTCTCTGAGTCACCACCTGCTCAGACAAGTTGCGTGGAGGCCCCGGGGGGAGAGCAGGAAGCCAAGAGACCGCCTGACACACAGACTAGTAAGGAAAGAAGCAGACGGGGGAAAGCTCACTGGCCGAGCCAGACAGCGATGCCCTGAGCACAGCTGGGAGCAACCCCCCAGCACAAAACCAGGAGTAGCAAGTGAGCACCGCTGTGACCCAAAGAAATCCAGGAACCAATGAATCAAATCCATCAGTGGAACGCTCTTTGTTTTCAGCAGCTGAGAGGAAGCAGAAGGAGCGAAAACCAGACAGCCGAGGTCACAGAGTCCAGAGAGAAGAGACTCTCCTGGCTCCGTCCCAGAGGCACCTGGAGGGCAGTGTTAGGCTCTCTCGGCAGGAATGCCGGCAGGAGAGCAGACTACCCTCCCATCCAGAATGCGGCACTCCCGCAAGCACACAGGGGGAAGCCAGAGACGGCTGTTCTGAAGAGGCACCACGCCACCTCAGGAACAGAGTGGGGTCGGAAGTCGGAAAGACGCTGAGAGCCCGAAGCAGGGAGGGTCCCCAGCCTGCAGGCGCTCTCCACACAGCCCGAGCGCCTCCCAGGGGCTCCCAGGTCGGAAATACCCACAGGGTTCCTTGAGAAGGAAACACGCGAGTCAACAGCTGGATGATTTGGGGCAGGAAGGAGGAAAGTGAGGCAGCAAAATAAAAACAAAACTTCAGCATCTTCTCAAAGGCTGAGGGATATGCCCCACCCCGCACAGGATCGCGGTCCCATGTGAGCACGTGACTCTGGTGGGTGAAAGGCAGCGGCTGGCGCCTTCCTGCTCCTCTCACCAACACAGACCGAGAGAGCCCGCCTGGGTCCCCCTCCACGGGCCACCCCGGCAGCACTCACTGGTCACGAAGTATGTCCCCATCCTGATTCGGGTAGAAGGCAAGCTTGAAAATGCGGTTCATGACGCTTCGCTCAATGGCCAGCTGGGCGTCCTGCAGCTGCTCTTCGCTGGCGTTCTGCCAGATCACATCCTGGGCCATGGCGCCGTAGAGGAACTGCAGGAAGTCCTCGACCTGAGCCGTTTTATCATCAGCGGCCGTGAGCTTCTGAAAGTCTCCAATTCAAAACAACAGTTTTGGGAATGAGCAACCTAAATAACTTTCAAAAAGAAGTTCTAGAAGTCACTTGCTACGCAGAGACCACGCTCTTTGAGTCACAAGCCCCTGGGTGTGGTTTATCTCAGAACATGCGGCCTGGGGGCTGGAGCCAGGAAGGAGTCAGCCAGGAAGGCTGACCCAGGTTTGATCCCTGGCATCCTACCAGAAGTGATCCCTGAATGCAGAGCCAGGAGTCACCTGGCACGGACAGTGTGCACTCCCACCCCCCAAAAAATACAGGTAGCCAAATCATCAAAATTTAGAGAAAAGACTAAGACATGTCAGGGGCCAGGGCTGTGGCTCAGTGACAAAGCACTATCTTCATTTGTAAATCCCTGGGTTCATTCCCTGGCCCCCGATATATGACAAGAAAAAAGTTTAAGAGAAAAATTCTTATAAAATGATAAGCTTTTTTTTTAATGAGAAAAAAATGTGTAGAATCAGAACTTTTACTAATTTTCCCCATTCTTTCTAAACTATGAATTTACAAGCCATGATTAAAATGTATGTTGCTGGTTTGACATCAAAACTTAATTCTAGGGGGCTTGGTGGGGAGCCACACCCAATGGTGCTCAGGGACTACTCCTGCCTCTGTGCTCGGGTGTGCCTCTGGCAGTGCTTAGGAGACCATGCAGGGTGCTGGGGATCAAAGCCGGGTTGGCCTCAAGCAGGGCGAGCACCTTCTCTCTCCAGGCCCTTCAAAGTTCACTATTGGGGCTGGAGAGATAGCACAGCGGGAAGGGTGTTTGCCTTGCATGCAGCCAACCCGGGTTCGATTCCCAGCATCCCATATGGTCCCCAAGCATGCCAGGAGTGATTCCTGAGTGCAGAGTAACCCCTGTGCAATGGCGGGTGTAACCCAAAAAAAAAAAGTTCACTATTAAGATCCCACAAGAGAGGGCCAGGGCTGTGGGTCAGGGAGCAGAGCGAGGGTCCTGTACGTCAAGGCACTGAGTTTGATCCCAGCACCATGAGGGGCCCCGTCCACTGCTGAGTGTGTTTCCCCACAACAACCAGAGGGGGAACATAATCCATAAAGTCACCGGGAACTGAGAGATCTACTCTGAGGGACGAGGGATTCAACTAAACCAGCCAACAAAGACTTCCGGTTGTCCTCAGCTAGCAGGCCCGCGGGGAGGAGCCTGGGGTACCTTGGATGAACTCCCCGATCTTCTTCTCTTTGCTCTCCAACAGCAGCCGCACACAGACGGTGGTGAAGTACCGATTGGCCACCTCCTTGTCGCGCAGGACCCTTTGCAGGAGCCTCTCCAGGTGAGCCTGCGTGGTCTGCAGCCCTTGCCGACAGCGAGTGAGGTAAGCAATGTAGGGCGCCCTTTTCCTGGGAGGGGAAAACGCTCTGTGGGACATCAGCTACACACATGCATGTTTTCGTTATGGACCAAGCATTCTGACTTCGCTTTAAAGACTGAGAGATAGAGAAGCAAAAGCAGCGCCATTTGGCTCATAAAGAAGTCAGAAGAAGCGAGGCATAGGTTTTAGTTTCAGAATTCCTTGAACACAGATACCTGGAATTGAGTCATGATTTCCCCAAAGCGAGATAGCCATGGGGAGGTCAACTAAGGGTTACTAATCAGATGCAGGTAGGGAAGCCCCCCATATAACCCTTATGTAACTCTTATGCAACCCTATGTAAAAGTACAAGTAGTGGAAAGCCCCTCTGACTGTGGTCAAAAGAGTGGTCTGTAAAAAGTCCCCGTTATATAACGTTATGCTATAAAAGCCCCTTACTTTTGAGACTCGGAGCCGCTCATTTTAAGAAGGCTGCCATTGTGTCGGTGAGCTGGACGAGGGCCCTTAGCTCGAGCCAGCCAATAAAGACCCTTCGCTTACTACATCACAACTTGTCTTCGCGTGATTCCTCTGGGGAGATCTCGGCCCAGTTTAACCTGACCATGGGGCCAGAGCGATATAGTACAGCAGGTGAGGCGCTTGCCTGGCATGTAGCTGACCAGGCTGGATGCCCGGTACCCCCATGTGGTCGCTTTAGCCTCCCAGGAGTGATCCCTGAGTGCAGAGCCAGGAGTAAAGCCCTGAGCAGAGCTGAGTGCACGCCCCTCCCCTTAAAAAGAGTAAGTGACTTTGCAGTACACAGTCTTTTTGGGGGTTTTGACCACTGCACGTCTGGCTACAGTAACCAGTCGTGTGCCAGCTCCAGGAACTGCCATCCTGCACATCAAGTGAAGAATGTCACTTCGTGGGTGGATTGATTAGTCACCTGGCTCGCTAAGGGTAATGACAGTCCCTTTACTTCGCTGCTGTTTGACATCAGAGCACAGGCTCCACACCAGGATGGCCACACCATTCATACCTCAGAGCTGCCGCAAGGCCCAGGCCCCGACACACCCCTCTCCCTCAGGCCACACAAGCCGATTCCCAGCCTTCCCCAGCATCCCTGTCCCAGGGAGCGGTCTTTCTGATCTCCCCTGAAGAGTGGCAATGCACAGGCCTCCCCCTGTGCCAAAGTTGATGGCGTGGAGAGCTGAAGTCAACGCCATTTCTCTAGCAGTGAGAGCAACTTAGATCCGTGTTTCCGGATAAAAAATGCCTATGTGTTTCTGGGGAAAATACATCCAAGTCATCACGGCCAAGCAGCTTAGAGATACTCTGTTCAGGCTGACACGAGGACCAAGCAGCAGCTCTGCAGCTGAGAGGCGGCTGCAGGCGACAAACCACCCGTTACCTGTAGTCCTCGGCAATGGAGGCCAGGAGCTTCCTGCAGGTCCGGTTGTCAAAACGGCACACGCAGCGCATGGTTTCCTGGAGTTGGGCCATTAAGTTCTTATCTTGCAAATTAATTGCCTCCGCTATTTGAACTTTTAAGAAGCACACAATTTCATTGTCTAAACAAACAAAACACACACACAAAAATAAGGATTCTGCAACTGAGAATTTGTATGGGCTCTGCTGCTCCACGGACAGCATCTCCCTTGCCTTTACGGCCCCAACTCTCCTCACTGCGGAACCAGAACTGTGTGGTCGTGACCCATCATGACCCAAGTGCCCTGAAGTGACACTACTATAAGGCGGAAGTGTGACCAGAGGGAGCTGATGTCGAAACATACTGTCCTGCAGTTCAACCTGTAAGCAAAGGGAAAACAAACCAGCACGCAGCTACTCACCTTCTGGGTCTGTGTGGTCGGGTAAACCATTCCTTGTCGAGTGGGTTAACACTGGGAAAGCAAAGGAATCCGCAGAGCAAAGAGCAAGCCTCAGTTTCTTCTTTGCATCTCTGCAGAACAAATCAAAATTCCATGAATCTTTACCGAGAGACAGTGTTTGTGGACATTAAAAAGGGTCATATTTTTTTTTCCATTACACTTCATCACTTAATCACTTAACTTCCCGTTAGTCGTCGATTTGCTCGAGTGGGCGCCAGTAATGTCTCCATTTGTCCCTGTCGCGTGCTAGTGTAGCCCAATGGCATCTGTTCGCTCCAGGAACATGAAGGGCCTCAAACCAATCGTTCATGATCCTGACGAAGAAGTCTGACCATCTGGCAGGTGGGCGGCCACGCGGTCTTTTGACATCCCGTGGAATCCAGTCGGTAACAGCTCTAGTCCAGCGGTCGTCTTTAAATCTCATTACGTGACCAGCCCATCTGATTTTCGACACCTTGGCAAACGAGACAGCGTCCCTGATTCTTGATCGTCGACGGATGTCAGAACTCCAGATTCTTTCTCTCATTTGAGTGAAACGTGATATTCCAAGCATAGCTCTTTCTATTCTTCTTTGGGAGACCTGAATAGCGTTCTCATCTTGTTTGCGTAGGGCCCAGGTCTCTGAGGCATATGTTAATGCAGGAAGAACAGTGGAATCAAAGAGATGTGCCCAGAGCCGGAGGTTCTTCGTCCTCTTAGCTATTGCTTCGACGTTCTTGAAGGCGTTCCAAGCCGCTCTCTTCCTCCTGCGCAGCTCGGGTGCCAGGTCATTTGTCATGTTGACCTCTCGACCTAGGTACACATAGCTGTTGCATTCGGAGATGGTCGTTCCGTTGAGAGCGAATGGGGCGTCAAGAACGAGGCTATTTCTCATTTTTCATTACATTTATTTTTTTTCCCTTTTTGGGTCACACCCAGAGATGCTCAGGGATTACTACTGGCTCTGCACTCAGGAATTATTCATAGTGGTGCTCGGGGGACCATATGGGATGCCAGGAATCGAACCTGGGTCAGCCTCGTGCAAGGCAAATGCCCTCCCTGCTGTACTATTGCTCCAGCCAGACATTTTTTAATTTACTTAAGAGAAAAGGCTCTGCTGCCCTGAGGAGCAAGGCTCTAAGAGCACTCTGGGAAACCAACACTTTCTAAGATCTCCAGAACCAGTCAAACCAGTCCGCTGGCCTCTGGCCCATGCTGGGGTCTGTGACAGAACATAATGAGAGCCAAGTATGCACTTTGCCCAGGGCTGGCAGGGCCCAGGTGTCCTCGAAGCCTCTCACCCACCCCCCCGCCCAGAGGAGACCCTGACCAATCTCCTGAGGTCTGGTCTATCCTGACACAGTAACGCTCAGCAGACAGGAGGCCTTCACACTGCCCCACTGCCTGAACAGTCCTTTATGTTTCTCTTTTGTTTGGGGACCACATCCAGCAGGGCTCTGGGCTTACTCCAAGGACCACTCCTAGTGGGACTCAGGGAACCCTGTGGGGTACTAGGATTGAAACCAGGTGTGCCCACCTGCTGTATTAATGATCCGGCCCAAAGCTGTTTATGTTGAAACCAAACCTGCTGCTTCTTCTGCCTCCAACCAACTCCACCAACTCCCCCTGGGAAAGCTGCCCCACACTCTGTGGCCCCGCATACAGGAGCAGCCCTGAGGGTTTCTTGGTTGCCACCATCAGGGGAACAGAGACCCTCTGGACAGTTCAGAAGGGAAGGAAGCAAAGCAACTCCCAGAGGACATGAGGTCCTGCTTCACCGTGCAGGAGGGGATCATGTGGCCGGTCCCCTCCTGACTTGCTGAGTCTTGCCCTCCTGGCTAGCTTCCTAGAGACCATTAATCATAAGTGGATCAAATGCAGTATTTGCTCACTCTACAATAGCTCTTTTTTTCATTGAATCACTGTGAGTTATAAAGATCCAAAGGTAGTTATGACTGAGGCATATTGTTCCAACACCAGCCCTTCACCAGGGCCTCTACCCTCCACCAACGGCCCCTCTTTTCCTCCCAGCCCCAGCTTGCCCCATGCCAAGATTCTTACTTATACTCAGCTCTCCTACTCCTCGTTTCTCCCGCTATTGGGCATTTGATATCCCCCCGTGAAGTTCCTTTGTACCCCACACATGAGAGATCACTGCCTGCGCTTCTTGCCCTCTGACTGATTTCACTCAACATGATACGCTCCAGATCCATCCATACTGCAGCAAACTGCATGACTTTATCTTCCCTTAAGGCTGCACAGTTTTCCATTGTGTGCATTTATTGTTCTTGGATTTTGGGTTGTTTCCATATTTGGGCTATTGGATATAGTGCCGCACTACAATATAACTATTATTTATAATAGCAAAGTCATGTCTGGAAAATAAAAACTCAATCTCCCATCCCACCAATTTTACTGAAGAAAAACATTTGTTTGCAACAGGAGCAGGGTGCTTGCATTGCACGCAGCCACCCAGGTTCAATCTCTGGCACCACGTATGGTCCCCCGAATCCCACAAAGAGTGAGCACTAAGTACAGAGCCAAGAGTAAATCCTGAGCACCATGTGACCCAAAAGCCAAAAATAAATAAATATCGCAGGAGCAAAAGACAAACAGCAATCATAGCAGGCCTATGTTTGATCCCCAGCGTACACTATGGTCCCCGGAGCACTGCCAAGAGTAATCCCTTAGTGCTAGTGCAGAGCCAGGAAGAAGCCCTGAGCACTGCCAGGTGTGACCCAAAAAACAAATATAGAGTTTTCCTTAAAGTAACCAGGTGGTGTCAAATATAAAATAATATAGGTGATTGGCCATAATATTCATAACCTGAGTCCGACTAATGGGCACAATACTGTAGTCTTTCATTTGTGTTTATGCGTAAACATTTCTGTAAGAAGTTTACATAATATATATATATATAAAATAAATATATGGGGAACTGTGGGAGGAAGGATTAGATAGATAAAAGATTGGGGCTTTAAAACTGATCACTCTTGTCTAGGAATACAAGATCTAATGGAACAAAGGCAGCTTTCTCTGGTTCCTAATGTCATTTTCTTTTTCCAAGCAAGAGCAAAAATGTTTTCCTTGTTCACTTCTTACTGTAGTACCCTTTGATGACATCCCAGACCTGTAATTCTTGCTATCAAAGGACTCTAGTCCTCAACTACCACGCAAGTACAGCCACCCACCTTACGGGTGTCCCTCTATTTCCGGAGGCCTACCCAGTCCCCTAATTTCCCACTGTCACCAACTTAGTGCCAATGATGCAGACTTGAGTCTCGTGGCCTCCCCTGCCTGACCATCAGACACAAGATCCTCACAGTTGGACACAGGCACATGAAGCTGAACGTGGCGCCTGCCTGTGGCTCCTGTGTTCCATCATGCAGGAGGGTGGGCAGATGGGATGGCTGGCACAGTCGTAGTCCCGTCTGCCCTACCTCCAGCAGTGGTGCTGTCCTCAGCCATGGCAGCAGGTTGGGGATGGCGCTTCCGCCAGGGAGTGATGGGACAATAAAGGGAGCACTCCAGGAGTTCACTGGGCATGTGGATTATTCAGCAATCCAGCAGCTGGTCCTGCCCCCTAGCTCAGCACTGCCACCCGCTTCACTGAAACTACTGAGAGGGCCCCTGTGGGCAGGTGGGGGCTTCTTATCTTCTCGTCACTGTGTGCCTAGAGCACATGATGTGCAGGACAAGTCCAGTCTTCCCCACACGTCACTCACGTCCCTGCCTCTATTTCCGCACAGCCCTGCACACCCCTATGGAAGCCCAGGGAAGTACCTGTAAGAAAAGGCCGAGTCCTGGGGCTGCGCGGCTTGGCTGGCCGAGTCTGGCAGGTCATCGGCAGAGATGTTCTGCAGCGCGTCGTCACGAGGAGAATCCTGTGCACTTTCGCCGTCACCCAAGACCTCTAAACAAGCCCGCACCCCCCAAAAGGAGAAGCAGGTTAACTGGGACTGCACTGGAAGTAGGAGGTTCTGAGTGCGCCTCGACAGTACATAAACTCTGCTCTTCAGGAAAATGTTTTAAAAGGAGGGGTGTGTGTGCAAAAAGGAGACCGGAGTGACAGTACAATGGATGGGGCGCTGGCCTTGCACGTGGCCAACGTGGGTTCTATTCCCAGCATCCCACATGGCTCCTGGAGCCTGTCAGGAGTGACCCTGCTTGCAGTACCAGGAGTAAGCCCTGAGCAATGGTGGGAGTGGGCCCCCTCCCTCCAAAAGCAGAGACAGTGGCTTTATGGTCGAGCCCTGCTCAGGAGCACAAAGACAGGAGTAAACCCTGAGAACAGCCAGGTGTGGCCACACATTTTTTTTTTAACACACAAAAAGATATGGGTTTATGGAGGGAAAATGTCTTTAGTCTTCTTAGAAGATAATTTCTAGTACTTCAGGGGGTAAAATATTAAAAATTACTAAGTCCAGGTAAAGGGCATAAAGCTTTCTATTGTATTATGACCCTTCTCTCTAATATTTTAAAACTATTCCAAGTAAGTCAGAGAGATGAGCACATGCTCTGCATATGGGAGGCTCTAGGGTCTGCCTGGCCCCCTGAGAGGGCTTCTGAGCACAGAGCCAAGATTAGTCTAAGCCTGTCAGATGTGGCCCCAAGCAAACAAAAGCGCTAACAAATGAAAAAGTGCAGGAGTCCATTATCCCACCCCTGTTGCACCCGCTTACATCCAGCTCACAGCTGAATTCACACCTGGAGGTCCCTATTCCCCCTCAGTTCTCCCGGCAGTGCACCACGGTTCCAGACAGCTCTGCCCACTCTTCACTCCCCCTCCCCCGTCCCTGCGCCCCATGCGGCTGTCCAGCCCATCATGATCTTCACCTGCACTTTCATAGTTTGACAGTGCTCCTTCACTGGGGCTGGTGCGTTTGATGGCATTCCTGTACTTGTCCAGAATGTCCTCAGCCACCTGAGCCTGGGCACTGAGCCGAGGGCTGGGCTCATCTGCAGGGAGAAAGAGAGAGGGAGGATTAGGCCCGCTTGCTCAAGCCCACCCTGCGGTTAGTATGACACCAAGAGCATAATCCCGAAGGTGGATTAGGAGGTGAGACTTAAAAAGAGCACATATCTCAGGGTTAAGAGGCACCATGCAGCTACCAACTCATCCCGTTTCTACGGCTGAGAGCTTGGCCAAAGCGTGAAGCCGATCCGCTTCCCCTCCTCGTGACGGCCAGAATTCTGCACGACTGTGTCACAAGGCTCAGGGCAGACTGAATGGATGAAGGGCTTCTCAAGACTTTACGCTCAGATCACTGTCCTGAGCAGTTCATGCTAACAGAACTTCTAACCATGCACTTTATACGCAGATTTCATTTATTCACACATCTCCACGCTGAGGGAGGAAAAATTTCAAATTTAGAATTACACATCTCTTAACATGAACTCTTTAAAAAGCTTCTTCCGGGTTTCCTCCATGAACCTGGCCCTGCACGTGTGAAACGTGAAGAGTCGTATTTTATCTCACTGCCCCTCGCCGCAACAGTGCAGCTGCTAGAAGAGGCCTCGGTGTGTGCCCTGGGGCCAGGGGCACTACAGAAGAATCAGGACATTTGGGAAAGAGCTGGAGTTGTGTGGGATGCAGAGAGGAAAAGCTTCTCAGGGTCACAGGGCAGCACACTGCAATGCCTCCCTGGAGTCTCCGACGGCCAGTCCCTAATGAAGTCAGCCAAGCAGAGACTCGCTACAGGTCCCTGGGGCAAAATTAAGCTCCAGAGCAAAATGCAAACTCCTAAGGCAGAAATAGGCGAGCGGGTAATGACAACTGCCCACATTCTGGGAGAATCCCATTTTTAAAAAGAAAAGCTAAAGACACATCAAAGTCACTAGATTTTATAGAGTGTTGACAGCATCTACTCTTGAGAGCAGCTAACACTTATTGAGCACTTACCACATGCCAGGAACTAGGCTAAGCATTTTATATGGACCTTAATTAATGGCCGCAACTTCTTGACAGGGAGGCGCTAGTGCCACCCCTATCTGACAGCAGAGGAAATCAAAGCACCGGTTAAGTAACTTGCTCAGAGGCGCTTTTGATTTCATAAAAATAATATTTAGTGTTCGTGACCTTGTAAAATCATAGTCAGCCATAGAAAGGATTTCCAAAGTAATTTAACCTTTCTGCTACAACAGTTCTTGAACACACTGAATGTCCTAATAAAATCTGTTCTTCTATATGTAAATTGATAAAACCTGTATCATTATGAAATCTTTTATGGAGAGGGATTATTTTGATGTTACTGGTTATATGAAGTACTTTTAGAAGGGGAAATAATGGCCAGAGAGATAGTACAGGGGTCAAAGCAACGCCTTGCATGAGGCCAACCTAGGTCTGATCTCTGGCATTGCATATAGCCCCTTAAGCACAGTCAGGAGTAACCCCTGAGCAAAGATAGGTGTGGCCCAAAAACACAAAACAAGAAAAAATAAGGTCTCAGGAGCATTAAGAAGGCTGGAGTGCAGGATCTGCATGGAGGGGCATCCCTGGTTCAGTTCCCAGAACAAACTCCCCCCAGCCATGCCCAGTCCCCAGCCATGCCCAGTATCACCCTGAAAATACGGGACAGTCAGTGCTAGAGACGGTGCAGCGGGCAGGACGCCTGCTATGTATGAGGCAACCCTGGTTTGATCCCTGGCACATCCCATATGATTCCTTGAGCCCTACCAGAAATGATCACTGAGCACAGAGCCAGGAGTAAGCCCTGAACACTACCAGGTGTGGCCCCAAAACAAAAAACAAACCATCAAAACAAACAATAAAATATAGCTAAACTGCAGGTGTTTCATGTTGTAATAACCTTTTATTCTATAATGTCATCCTAACATTTTTTTTCAATCCCAGGAAAAAATGAGAACCCCCCTAAAATCACAATATATCTAAAGCTGTGACATTTTCTCCCCCCCACACACAAACACCCCCGCTTTTTGGGCCACACCCAGCAATGCTCAGGGTTAACTCCTGTTGGCTCTGCACTCAGGAATTACTCCTGGTGGTGCTTGGGGGACCATATGGGATGCCAGGGATTGAACCCAGGTCAGCCACGTGCAAGGCAAACACCCTCCCCACTGTACTATCGTTCCGGTCCCTACAGCTGTGACATATTCAGAGTAGAAATGTCCGTGCAGCGCTGGGGAGAGATTGAGTGATGGAGCACAGCTGTGGCGGGAAGTGACCCGAGTTCTACTCCAAGCAGCCACAAGTGAGCGCCAGGAGCGGCCCTCGAGCACCACAGGCTGTAGCCCAGAAAACAAAGCGTGCAAACAAAAAAGTCAATATGGTCAAAATATTCAAAAGCAAGAGACATTCATGCAGCAGAAAAATTATACAATGATAGTATTTAAAAACCATCTCAGTTCTGTCTAGTAGAAAAGTTTTCATGTGCTAAAGAACATAGCTATGTACATAACTCCACTTTACTAGTGAAAAGAGTCATGTACAAATATGAAGAGACTGGGAGAGAACACGAAAAAGGATTAATAGTAAGATGGTATGATATGGATAAGATTTAAAGCTCTTAAGTATCTTAATAATAATTTTCCATGGGCCATTAATAAGGACTACATAGAAATTTCTGCGCCAACAGGTTAGCAAAATTGCTAATATCAAATGCAAAGAAAATGAAAACTCTACAAAACTTCTGGTCTCAACACCAAGAAAAATGTACTACCCAGAGACACAAGTAAAACTAATTTACACCTCTTCCGAAGTTTCAAATTCAAGAATTTAAAAACATGACATTTCATTAAGAGCATTTCACTTTGTGAAGGTTGGTAGTACTCCAAACTTAGAAACACGAAAAGGCTAAATCTTATATCCCTCAATGAAGCCTTTCCAAGTCTCCTCCGAGTTCCTGCAGAACAGGGGACAGGGAATTAGATGGGAAAGACACAACTCTTAGCACGGCACCCGGCATGAGTCTGATGTTCAACGGTCTTTGATGAAGGAATAAGATAAAGTGAATGCTCCCAGCAGGGAAACACAGCTTGAAGACAAAGGTCCTGCTGTTCAAAACTTTGTTGGGGGGATGGAGTAAGAGGAGAATCACACCTCACACATGAGGCACTGTGAGTTACATCCCAGGCACCAAAAGCCCTGTCACCTCATCGAAAAAAGGACAAGAATGCATCCAGCTCTAGAACAGAACAGTGGGACATGCACAAAAACGGGATTCTACCTTACTATGCTTACTGCCTTACTGTGCTATTCTGCCTTACTAGTTAGTCTACTTTACTATTCCTTTTTGAGGAAGGTGTTCTTTTAAAAATCACTCCACATTTTTTTGAAGTCAAAAAAATCTCCATTTTTGGGGTGGGACGATAGCTCATAAGGCGATGTGCAAGCTTCACATTCCAAAGGCCTTGGTTCAGTTCCAGCACTGTATGGTCCTCTGAGCAACAAGCTGAGGGTAGTCCCTGAGCATCATTGGGTATGGCCCCACGTCACAAAACAATCAAAAAAAAGTCTTTGTTTTAACTTGCTAACAATTTAAATCAAGATTTTTTTTTAAAAAAATGAAAAATTTCCTTCCACTTCTGTGTACTAGAAACAGCCAATGCTGTTGACCTGAAGCTGACAGTGAATGATATTTCTCAAACTTTCTTTTTAGACTGCTTCATTCATTATGTGCTAAAAAGCAGCTAAAAAAAAAAAATCTTATGTTGAATTAGGTAAGAACCTGAGTCCTCACTGTATTTTCCTTGGGCCAAAGAGCAGTGTTCAAATGATTGAAGGGATCCAGAGAGACAGCTCAGCAGGTAAGCCACTAGCCTTGCACGCGGCCAACCTGGCTTCACCCCCCAGCACCCATACAGTCCCCTGAGCCTGCCAGGAGTGACCCCTGAGTGCAGAGCCAGGATTAAGCGCTGACCACAGCCAGGTGTGGCCCACAAACCAAAAATAAGGAAACAAATAAAAATAAAATGATTCAAGCTGTGAAAAAATGGTAAGATTTGTAAATAAAGGTATGATATTGTTTGAACACTCTGTCACACAAAAAAGGAAATGATTAGGCAAAACAAAATTTCACTGTGATCCTGAATAATCAAGAACTATCGATGGAAATGAATTCAGAACTCTATAAGCTGCATTAGCAGGTAAGGAGGGTCCACCAACGATCTAAAGATAAGGCATGCACAGCACGAAAGCCATCACCAGACGTCCCTAAAAGGCACTGTGCGTCACCATCCCATTAAGATGTCAAGCTTAAGATGCCAGGGAGGCCCAGAGGCTCACGCTCAAGGATTACAATGAGGATGAGATGGTGGTGGCTCCCTGCAGGAAGAGCACACTGAGATTCACTGCGGTTGCCAACGGGAAACCACAGACCCACGGAGAACATACTCCCACTCTACACACACAGACACACTCCTCGAAGAAGGCAACGCTTATGGCACCCAAGGAAAGTGTTATGAAATATGTGCTCTGGGAATGAAGGAGCCAGGAAGCCCATGGGTCTACAAACCTGTGAGTGTTGAGAATCTGTCAGGCCCCAGATCATCTTTGTCTTTTTCTTGTTTTTCTTTCTTTCTAAATGGTATGGGAGCTGGAAATTAAATAAAGTCAGTAGTGTGACATATAACATATGCACTACTTGGGACACAGCAGTCATTTCGGAATTACCTGGGGCGCCAACATTTCAAAGTGGAAAAGAGACTCAAAAGTTTAAAAGCGAATAAATCCCACATGTCAACGAATAATTTTTCTTAAAATAGCATGAAGATTCTTAACAAAGCTTTCAGAGTCTGCTGTGGGGGTCATCTGCACAGAAAGAATGACTTCATGGACTCTACGGGGACAAAAGTCCAAACCACTGCATCTAACCCTCTGCTCAAAAACAACACATTCAAAACTCAGAGCCTCGTTCTCCTCCTCAAGTGGGCTGGCATGTGGCGGGACAGCACTGCTCCTCAGCTCCTGAACGCCGCAGTGCCAAGAAGAGGCCTTGGGAAAAAAATCTCAGACTCTCCTTCCAGGAGAGATGCTGATGCCAACTCAGATCTCTAGAGCTACTATGATGATGCCAGGCTATTCACAAAGAAAGCAAACAATTTTATGCAACTGCCTTCCAAAGTAAACACTCACTGACATTCCAGGTATTAACAGTCTCAATGAACATAGACGTAAGAAGCTTCAGTGTCTTCCATGAATGGAAAGTACGAATTTTCAATATATACTGCTCAATAATTTTGTCGATTTTTTTTGCAACAATTTTCAGCAGTACACATGTCAGAAGCCCTGTGTTTAAAGGTTCTGATACTTCAACAACCATGACCTGCAAGACTTCCGTTCATGAAACCATTCCCACTTCCTGCAAAGAACAGTAACTGTCATTTCTTAAACTCTTCGTAATCACTGGAGCAGTATCATCTCCTACATCCTTAAAACAGAGACTTCGGTCCAGGAGGCTTCACAGAGGCGCTGAGATACCGGCTCCCTCCCTTGCTTCTTATTGCTTACACAGCATTTTAATGTTTAATAAAATTACCTTTAGGCATGGCTGAAACAAAACGTTTTCTCCACCAAGGTCTGTTTCTGTCTGATTTCTCATCATCACTATCTTTGCGTTCTTCAGTCTGTAGAGAAAGTTTGATGCTTTATTTGGAGTTGGGTAGCAGGATAAATTACTATGAAAAGGATTTCAGTTAATCTGTGAAATACAAAAACCACTTTTGTTTGCCTTCAAAACAAAATGGTTCTTAACTACCTTATGAGGCAACTTTTGGAACAAGAAAATATACTTTTTGGGGTGTGAGGGAGGGTGAGAGGATCAAGTCAGGAGTCTCAAATATATGATGTGTTTGTTTACCAGAGATACATCCAGGAAAATACACTTTAAGAGCACTTTTCAACTGCCTGCTTAAGGGCGGACAATCACTCATTACTATAAGCACACTAAAAGCATAATAAAGTAAATTACATAATACATAATACCAAGCAGGCACTCAAATACTTAAGACACAAGCAAATACAATCCAGTGTAGTCTAGAAGGTAGTAGAGATAATGCAAAATTAACAACAAAACTGAAAATCATCTATTGTGTACCAAATTCTGAGCATAAGAATATGTATTCTCTATTTAAATCTCACAATGGGGGACTAGAGTGATGGTACAGAGGGTAGGGTGCTTGCCTAGTACAGGATGGTCCGCTGAACCCTGCCAAGGAGTGACCCCTGAGCACAGAGCCAGGAATAAGTCCTGTGCACCTCTGAGAGTGGCCCGAAAACAAAAATAAATGAGTAAATCTCACAGTGGCTATTGAAATTAATACCATTATAAAGTCCTTTCTATAAATGAGAAACAGAATAAAAAGGTCACCAAAGTCAGACTGTCTCAAAGTAGTACAGCTGAAGCTCATAGTTCAAAGTTCCTATTTTGATGACCAATGACAGTGAGTTACTGAAACCACATGTCAGAGGCCCGAAAGACAGAACTGAGGTAAAGGTGCTTGCTGTGCCACGCAGCCCATCAGGTTCAAGCCCAGGCACATATGTACCTGAGCACCACCAGGGGTCACTCCTGAGCACAGAACCAGGAATACACCCTGAGCACTACAGGGTGAGGCCCAAGGCGCTGCATTCCCCCACGCCCACTCCAAATGCCCCTGCCAATACCCAAAAAATAAAGACCATATAGCAAAAGGGAAAACTGTAATTCCTTCTCTGCTCGTTAAGTGACTTTGGACTTGCTTCTTCTCTTCACCCACAAAACTGGGACTAAACAAACATACCTTATCTCATCTAATACTCCCAATAGGGTACAGACCCAAACAGAGACGAGGGGGCCCTGCTGGGCAGGCTTTAGCAGGGGGGAAGGGATACTGACTGCATACAGATGACGGAGCAAACAAGGACATACATGAAGCATAATGAGAGCAGATTTCTCACTGCTGTAAAAGAACCCATTCCAAAATGTTTAGACTGGAATGGAATCTATCAGTGTGAGCTCGTGGGTCCCTACAAATAAAGAGAATATAAAATAGAACATAAAATAAATACAAGGTCTCCTTGGAGAAATGGCTAACTTCAGGAGTAGGGTGGGCAGTTTAATAAAATCCTGTAACATTTAGTGTAAGAAAGCAAATTAAGGAGTGATAGCAGCATGTCAAAAGAACACAGGAGCCAGCATAAAGGGTTCCTGGCCACATCGATGACCAGTGAGCTGTAAAATAAAGGACAGTAGCAAACCCAGGAAAACACAAAATTCTAAGGCTGATTAGTAAATTGAATAAATTAAAAGTTGGATGAAGAATAAGATATCTACATAAGTACCCCCAAAGCACCCAAATATTTCTTCATTACAGTGGGAAAAAAAATAAAGTCAGCAAACCTGACAGGTAACACCTTCATCAAATGGCCCAAATGAACTTCCCAGTAGTGGGACGATTTAAACTGTGTGCTACCTGCTAGAATATGATGACAAGAACAGTGACACTCTTGGGTCACAACAGTGCTACTCTTGTCAAAGATGAAAAAGCTGAACCTAGGGGCCAGAGAGTACAGCACGCAGGATACCTCCCTTGCACACAGCTGACCTGGGTTCAATCCTCATCACCCCATAACCCTAAGAATCGTCACGTGTGGTCCCCAAACCTAAAGAGGGCAAAAAAGGGGAAAACCTGAATCTAATTATGAGAAAACATAAAACAATCCCACACTGTCAAAAAATAAGTAAGCGGCGTGAAATTTTCAGTCATACAAGATGAAGAATGTTCTAGACGAAAAGAGTTAAAAAGACATGACAGCTAAATACAACACGTGGATTGAAATGGAATCCTTTAGCTCCAAAGAATGTTACTTGGAACAACAGGGACACATGAGTAGCGTGTTTGGGTCAGAAAGCAGCCCCAACTCAGCTGAGTCCCGGGGGTTGATGGGCTCCAGGCAGTGAGGAGAATGCTTATTTGTCTGGAACTCATACAAGTTATTCAATGCAACAGCACACCAGGCAGACCACTTCCTGTCAGTGGGGCTGGAGGAGGTTCTTTTGGTAAACTTCTAACATTTTTGTAACTAACTGTTTCAAAAGAAATTGTGTTCTCCCTTTAATGGAGGAGACACAAAAGATCTTCTTCCAAAAAAGCTGAGGTTTAAATCAAACTAGATTCAAGATTATCTGGAGAAATGCTAGAAGTATTCTAAAAATGCCAGGTACATTACTGTATCACTTTTTAGGAGTTCTGGCCAAATCACCTTTGTCACTGTCATCCTGACTCACCCCAAACCCATACATTCCATGTGAACAAGTCTCAGGTGTCACGAGAACCGGGAGGCGAGGGCTGGGGAGCTGGCCGCAGGGTCCCGTACCTCTCCTCTGGAGGAGTCCTTGCTCGGGGAGGACGATGACGAGTGAGGGGCAGCCACCAGAGAAGCACCCATAGCTGCGGTTGGAGGCAGTTCTCGCTCCTCATTCCCAGGACGTCGGTTCCAGCTGGGGTCACTCATGGGCCGCCGGGCGGAAGACACGATGTCAGAACTCCGGCTCCGAACTAACCGCTCTGGGTAAGAATGCCGTTGCTTAAAGGCTTCCATTTCAGCTGGAGTTAAAATGTGGGACCCGAAGTTAGGCAACCGGGCCTCGTTGCCGCCCACAGCTCCTTCCAGAATTGGGGGGTCTGGTGGTGGATGCGACGGCCGGGCATAGTGAACTTTTGGCCGGACCACAGCAGAAGCCCCTGCAACAAGAGGAAAGCGTCAGACCTGGGACACAACCCATCCCAAGGGCGTTTCAGGTTTGCTCTTCTCTCCCTGTCACGATAGGGGCCAGGAAGTTGACCTGATGAGCATACCTTCATGTGAAGACAGTGGATCAAACATGGCAAGCAGAGACTCTGCCTGGGAAGGCGGAGAGGTCAGGGGATGGGCACCTAGAACAGATGCAAACAAGCATTCAGAGCAAGGCAGAGCTCATACGAGTTTCAATACGATGAGAAAGACGCAGGAATTCTTCCAATCTTTTCCTCTTCTGGATTGGTTACAACTGGAGGGGCATATCGGGGAGGGGAAGGGACTCATACATTTCAAATTCTGCTTAATTAAAGTCCATTTTAATGTCTTTATCTCTGTATATTTTAATTACTTTTGGAAGTGAAGTGCAGGAATCAAACCCAGGGCTTCATACATGCACTCAGTTATAACAGAATCAACTGGTCTGTAGTGCCCTGAATGGCTCTTCTAACTACACGATTTTGTCTTGTCTTTTTGTCTCTTTCTTTGTTCACATATGATTTTGTGGCATCACTCACTCATCATACAGAAAAGGTTGACTCAATGAGACATGTAAATCTTCCAAATAGTTGGCATATTTAATCATATATATTAAAAAGCCATACTTTTTCGGTTTGGGGATTTTTGGGGGGAGAGGTGGATACCCAGCTATGCTCATGGCTTATTTCAAGGGTCACTCCTGGCAGTGCTCAGGTAACAAGGATTAAACTGGGTTTGACCACATGAAAGGCAAGCACTTTAGCCCCTGTACTCCCTTCTCCAGACCCCCAAAAGGGTCACAGTCTTAATCTCACTATTCCTCTCATCAGAAAAGTCATTAAATAGTGAAAAGCTGGCAAATTTGTAAACTAAGGAACAAGCTTTCAGGATTCTAAAAAATCCTAATCCTTACCTGAAAGCTTGACAGTGCCTTTGGCATAAATTCCACCCTAGGAGTGTATGCCCTTGAACAGCAGGTCCACTTAGTTAATCTCTGAGACATACCTTCCAAGTGTCCAAGGAAGGACTACTTACAGACTGTCAGACCATTTCCAACTAAAAATGGTTTTTATAAAAAGTAGGATAACATTGGTTTGTCCTTTCTCCTCTGCAGCAAGGAGCTTAGGCTTATTGGGTAACACCCATCACAATGCTCCCGAAGCACTCCCATTTCCTCAGTATTCATCTTTAACTTCTCTGTGCTCTGCTTTCTCTACCTGTTAATCACTCATTTCCCCTAACTGGAACCTGTGACTTGTAAAGTCAAATCCTTCTGAGATCTCTGATTTTGTATTGATAAGTGAAATACTGCTATTCTCTTTTCCTTATGTCCTTTGCATAGTTTACTTCAGAGCAATGTCCTTTATGTATAGAAACAGGAAGACAGTTAATGCTATGCTTTTGTAACTTGGGAGCTAATTGACTCTAAATAATATTTACTTTTGGGCACCTTAGCCTCGGTTGTCCTTAGTTCCTAGCAACCCGGAAGCAGAGTCCTGACGAAAGGACTGGATGGGCCCAGGGCAAGTGGTAAGCTGGCATTGAAACGGGACAGGAGAAGTGCCATAAAACTTATAATAAGAGCACAGTCATGGACAAATTCTGCCATGACCCAAGGAGAAGTGACTGAACTTCTCCCCTGCAGGGATTAGGAAGGTCTAACCTGAGGGCAATGGTCTGGAATCTGTAGCAAGATGTCCCCAGGAGTGCCACCCTAAAAGATTAATTTATCTCTTACTGTAATTTATCTCATACAAAATGACTGGAAAAATGATTAAGAATTAAGTAAATCTAAGATGACTGTTTATGGACTAAGGAAAGGAGAATGATGTCCTTAGAAGGAATTCCGCCCCTGAGCAAATTTCCCAGCAGATCTTTGTCTTAGAAGGCTTTTTCACATGCTGACTGTGCTACCTCACCTAGGTGTAGTTGCTACCCCAAATGCTTGGAAGCTCTTGACTAAGGCAGAGAGCCAAGTGTGGCGTGGGGGACAGGAGGAATACGGAAGTGGGTAAGACTGGAAGAAGGCAGAGGGAGACGAGACTGGAATAAACTGCAACTGGTCACCAACCAGCCTGGCAGCCCTGTTTCCTCCTTTATACGTCTACTGGTGGCGGCGGTGGCAGGCCAGGGTGGGGAAGCAGCTCATGGCCACCAAACACACATAGTGGGAGAGAGACCACGCCGCCCCTTGCTCATTTATTTTTTGAATACACAATGAAACACAAAAGGATAAACAAGTGGGGGGGTACCTAGTTAATAAAACTTACAACTCTAAAAGTCACCCAGGTCCCTGTGACCCCTTGCTGCACCCCAGAACACAGCAGATGTATATCTGGTCTACTCCCTATCTCTTCACACAGAGAATTAAAAAGATGTTAACCTATATGTTAAGATGTAACTATTTTCTTTCTCATCAGAGAATAAAAAGCATTGGGGGGAGGGGTTTACATCTGACACTATCCAGGGGTTACTTTCAGTTTGGTTCTCAGGGTCACTCCTGATGCAGCGGCAGGGATCAAACTCGGAGCTCAACTAGCGAGCAAGTGCTGGAGGCTATCGAGCTGTGTCTTCAACCCAAAGACATTCTGAAGTCAAACTTTTTTCCCAAACTGGGATGAATACAATGACTGCTTCGCCTTGCTTCCTACCAGAGCAACACACAGCAGTACTCAGGGAGCTTCGCTGGTGCCTGGGGTAGTGCCAGGGATCAATCAAGACCTCATGCACTCCATCTCCCTGCGCTTCCAGTAGCCTGGCAGTCAGGCTACTGCCCCTGACATCATATAAGCTCATTAATGGCCATGATAACGAGACTCACAATCTCTCAGAACTGAGCAACATGAGAACAACATGCCATAGATATGCCTCTGGACCCCAAAGTCACCATTCAGATAAAAAAAATTTTTTTTCAATTAACCTCAGCTGTATCACCTTATTTAAAATTTTAGAATTCCTAGAGTGTGTGGCCATATTTGTGGCTACACATTTCATTCTATACCACCAACGTACCAAGACACGGGCTTAATGGCTCCAGGGTAAAATACAACAATCTTCATACACTTTCCTCTAAGGAAACTTTTTCGGATCACTTTTACTGGATTATTCATAGTAAACAAGATAAAATAAATTATTTAGGTCCTGTTTCGGAGGCAGGCTTTGGGGGTGGGGGTGGAAACATTTGAAATATGGTTGTGGGAAGGTATAATAATGGTGGGATTGGTGTTGGAATATTAAATGTAATCATTATGAACAACTTAAAAAAAATGAAAAAGACCTCATGCACTACAGCCCTTGAACTATTTCCCTGGCCTCTCATCTCTCATTTCCTTCCTTTTTCTTTTTTTTTTTTTTTTTTGAGGGGGGCGCCTGGGGTGGGTAAGGGGAGGAGGAAAGAGGGAAGAGCCTGGCAGTGCTCTGGGAGTCATACAATGGCAGGGATGAAACCAGGTCAGTGCTAACTCCCTAGCCCCTCTTTTTCCATTTCTTACCATGAGTTACTTCATCCATGTCTGGGCTAGTGACAGAGTCTTTACCCCCAAAATCAGAGCTGCACTCAGATCTCAGGTCTTCTATCTTATTAGGAATATCCTCAGAAGTTGCACTTATGCCTTTAAAGACAAAATAATTAAAACTAAGCAAACAAGAACAACAAAATAAACACACAGAAAGTTTATGAAGTCTGGAGAAAGTTAAATACCCTTAATTGTTTGTGTTCAGTTCTACACACATGGGAGCTGCCTGGTGTTTCAGCATTTATCAGTACTACTGCTTAAATACAGTTACCCGGATGTGTACAAAATATTCCAAAATATTCCAAGTTACGTGCTCTGTAAACTCAGCAGCAGAAGCTATGCAGTAAAGATAGTCAGGGAACACACACGAGCTGCAAATTACTTGAATGAGCTCTACGAAGCCACACCTAAGCTCTCATAGATATTTGGTACCCTAGAAATAATTTCATGCCCTGGAAATCACCCACTGGTAACTATCAAAGTTATACATGGGGTGGTAGGAACACACCTTCCAGTCCTTATTCCTTAAAACAAGACAGACATACCCGACACAACACTGAGGCCTGGTGTGCTGGGGCGGGAACTGACCTCCCTGACATCCGTGTCGTCAGAGGTGCTGCCCAGGCCGGAACAGCTCTCCAGTTCCTGCAGACGCTCCTCCTGCTTCAGATCTGGGGCTTCTAGACAGAGAGGTGAGGGCCCACATTAGAGACTCAGTCAGCAGGCACGGGCTCCACTTCTGTGACCCGGATGAGGAAACTGACAGGGCTTACGGAAGGGTCAGTGTAAATAGATTTCTAGGTCTGGGCCAGTTAGTAAAGTTGGTTGAAGAAACGTTAAGGAAGTCATATCAACTCTGATTTTCCCCAGCACAGGCCAGTTGTACAGATGAAAACTCTAGTTTTAGATTACTACTCTGAATGAGTGTGCTACGGTTAACATGAAAACTGAACAAGAATGCAGAGAAGATCAACTATTAAATTTAAATGGCTTAAATCAATCATTAGCATTAGATCATTTTCTAAAATGTAACTCCTACAAATGCTCTAGCAAGTGATCTACTCCTGTCTCCTTATGTAAAGGCCATCATGTCTGAACGCTCTAGCACTATAAAACATGTATCAGGGTAATTCAATCATTCTTCATCCACATAGATCAGCAGAATGTAATATGCACATATACTTATATTTTGCATTCTGTAGTTGACATTTAAAGGCAAAGGGTATCTTCATAATCAGAAAAGAGGCAGATATACAATACATAAGACAACGCACAAAACATTTTATATACATTTAAAATAATCCTGCACAAAACAATTCTTAAAACTTCAGGGTTTCAATTTCAAAGTATTTCAAAAATACAGCAGATATCTTTTAAAGGGTCAAACTCTCCACTGGGATTAATCTAAACATGCTTACCAGGCATCTAACCACTTGGAATTTGAGTTGAATTCTATGACTGTCAGTTACTGGGAGACCTGAATTCAGTGTCCCACAGACAGCCCAACTGAGTGACTAACAACTGCTTGAAAAATAATTGTACATGCCGTCTTAGCTTATGACCATCCAACAGGGCATCTGTGTCTTAAAGAGCAGAAGAGACCATAAACTAATTTTTCATTGAACATTCTTAGCTTTGGGAGTGCCTCCTACCTGCCAAATGTCTATCTGACAAGATATACCGACAATGGCTAGAGGACACCTTGCATTTAAAACTGCAAATCAAACACAGAGACGATGACAGCGTACTAACCTGAGTCACTTGGCAATACCTCTACACTCCAAGCTTCGCTTGTTGTCTCTGATATGGTAGAGCCAGTGCAGGGGTCAAGGAGCACTGAGCCTGACCCTGGCAGGCACAGTAAACTGCCTAACATGTTCTCTGCTGCGGCACCTGTATGACCAGTGGGGAGCAAAGCGTTAACAAAGATCCTGAGGCAGAGCAGAGACAGTGGAGAAAGGCCAGGCGCCAGGGGACTGAATCTTCTCCCTAACTACCCACAGGAAGGCAGCCACGGAGAGCCATCTCCATCCTTCTCACCACTAAAATCACAGACTCCTGTTTCCTATCACAGTGGCGAAGCTCCTCCTGATTACTTCGGGCTCAACACAGAGAAAATGCACGATATTGGGTCAAGTAGTTTCAACTAGCTTTCACCTGTGTTTTCCAGCCAATTTTCTATCTTCCTAAAATTTAGTCACTTCCCACTGTTCTCTTTCTAAAACGTATAGTTGTACAGGGATTTAAAACTTACAGAGGTTTAACCCCAGAAAGGTACACTGGCCAAATACAGTTTTTGCTGGCACGTGAGCCACAAATACAGAGCAATAAAATACATTTGCAGGAAAATACACATCTCTCCCCTAGCACTTATTCAGCTGCAAACGCAGCTCAACCGTTCAGTGCTTAGAGCCAAGAAAGAGCTGCTTTGGCATCTGAAACAAAGTAATTTAAAACCGATTAAGAAATCTATTTACACTACTAAAAAGTACAAAGAAAAAGATTAACCAACATTGTACACCTGTATTAAAAACATGCATTTTTTTTTTTTGCTTTTTGGGTCACATCCAGCGATGCACAGGGGTTACTCCTGGCTCTGCACTCAGGAGTTACTCCTGGCAGTGCTCAGGGGACCCTATGGGATGCTTGATGCTTGGAATTGAACCCGGGTCGGCCGCGTGCAAGACAAACGCCCTACCTCCAGCCCCAAACATGCAAAAATTTTTTAAATAAAATAAAACCACTCCAGAATGCTCTATGACCCATAAAACCTAACCCAAAAGGGAACAATTCTACTTTAGTACTGAAAAAAATCTTAGAAAAAAAAAAAGGTTTTCTTTACAGGGACAAATGGAGACGTTACTGGCGCCCACTCGAGCAAATTAATGGGAAGTCAAGTGATCAAGTTTTCTTTTAAATAAATATAATGAAATAACTACAATTAAAGTTTTAAACTTGCAAAACATAATGAGGAAAGGGGACAAAAAATGGGTGGTGGAAGAAAGGAAATAGAAGCAGCCCTGTCTGCAGGTGAAGCTGACGGACTGAGCAGGGGTCCACGGCACACTGCACACTACCCTCTCACATTTGCTCAAAACAGTCTCTATTTTTTTAAAAAAAATGATGGTTTTCTTCATTGGTACTACATGAAGACTACATGAGAAGAGATAGTACGGCGCGTTGGGCACTTGCCTTGCACGCGGCCAACCCAGGTTCAGTCCCCAGCACCCCACATGATGACCCCTAAGTCCTGCCAGGAATGATCCCTGAATGCAGAGCCAGGGGTAACCCCTGAGCGTCCCAGTGTGGCCTAAACCCCACCCAACCCACCAAAAAAGGTCACTGCACGAAAGCTTTCAGAACCCATAGACTAGAATTCTAAAGATTAAAATTCAATCAAATGTGTGGGTCAGAGATAGAACACATCTCTCTTATGCCAGGACCAGGGTTCGATTCTTGGCACAGAAGGAAAAAAAAAAAAGATAAAATTTAATGTATGTTCATTGTACCTCAATAAACTTGATACTAAAAAGAAAAAAAAATGAGGAAAACCTGGCTGAAAACAATAGTACAGGGGTTAAAGCACTTGTGATTCATGTGGCCGATCCTGGTTTGATCCCTGGCATCACACATGGTCCCCCAAACACCACCAGAAGTGACCCCTGAGTGCAGAGCCAGGAGTAAATCCTGAGCACAGCAAGGTATGAGCCAGAAAATCTAAAATATAAAATTGGCAACTCTTTGGAACTGAATCCTTCCAGAAGTAAATTCAATTTTTTAGAGAATTTCAGAGTATTATTCCAAATACTGGAATAATTAGTTGGAATATTGTGAGAATTTTCATCTAAAATTAAAAAGTCCAGGCTTGGGGGCTGGAGTGATAGCACAGTGGGTAGGTCATTTGCCTTGCTTGAGGCCAACCCAGGTTCAATTCCCAGCTTCCCATACGGTCCAGAAGCACTGCCAGGAGCAATTCCTGAGTGCATGAGCCAGGAGTAATCCCTGTGCATCGCTGGGTGTGACCCAAAAAGCAAAAAACAAAAAAAAAAAGTCCAGGCTTGGGCTAGAGTGACAGTACTGCAAGTAAGGAGTTTGCCTTGCATGAGGACGACTCCAGTTGGATCCCTGAGCACTGCCAAGTGCAGTGCTCCTGAGTGCAGAAACAGGAGCAAAACTTTAGCACTGCTGGGTGTGGCCCAAAAACAAAACCAAACAAAACAAAAAACTTCAGGCTCAAAGGAGGAACAGGCTATTCATTGACTAAGAATGCATATATCCTGCAAACAAGATTTAGAAAAGCTAATTCAGGAGGTTGATTTTTTTCATTCTGGGAGGAGAAAGGGAGTTAACAGGGAAAACACTATCTATACTTAAGAAGAAAAAGCTTCATTGCACAGTTAGCTCCGCTCCTTAGTCAGGGCTCATATAGCCAAACCTCACCCAGCACTGCATCCCCCCCACCCAGGAAGGGCTCAGGGAAGATGGGTGTAATGAGAAATGGCACAGAGGCATCACAGAGCAGTTACCTGCAATTTCCTGCAAACGATCTTCGTCAATGTTAGGGTCAAAATCACTCCCCAAGACGTCTGTGCTCCAGGTCTCGCTCACCGTTTCTGATATATCCCTGTCATCCGTCAGTCCCATCATGTCCCGGATCTCAAACTTCCGTAGTTTATCATCCAGATTATCTTGTGTTGTGGCTACCAAAAACAAGATTGCGCCATTAAAAAATTACTCAGCGCCTCTGGACAGCAAGATGGCAGCCACCTCGGAGCTTTTTGGAAAGCCAGGTATGAGCCGGTCGTGACGGGGGTGACTGAAACCTCATGGGAAGGGGGGGCGTTCCGGGCTCGTCCTTCACGCCCTACCGAGGTCACGAGTTGCCCCCCACGAGTGGCTCTCCGGCACAGCCATGGCTCCAGAAGCACAAGTACTTAATGCAGGACCTGGCAGCTTGCAGCAGTAAAGTGAATGGACTATGCATTAATCCATGCCACCGTGCCTGCCCAGAGGGAAAAGGATGTTGCTCCCTTCTGCCTTTTTCCCTCTGGACAGCAACATGGTGGCTGCCTCAGAGCTTTTTGGAAAACCAGGTATGAGCTGGTCGTGATGGGGGCAACTGAGAAACCTCATGGGAAGGGGGGCGTTCCGGGCTCGTCCTTCACGCCCTACTGAGGTCACGAGTTGCCCCCCACGAGTGGCTCTCCGGCACGGCCATGGCTCTAGAGTCACAGAAACCAGTCTCATAATTATCTGACTCTCGGCAGAAATTGTTCCAGGCTTAATAAGTAAAATATCAGAAATCCAAAATCGCACAGCCGCTATTGCGGCGGCGCGTCATCATTTGATTCTTGTAACCAGGTATAGAAACAAATTATTTCAGAATGTCTTTTCAACAGGTCTGATTTGGGGGTGTAAATTCTACATAATGATAATGCATCTTTTGTCGAAACAATGAAGCTAATCAAAGTAGATCTATCTAGTGTTAACTAGAATTCGTCTGCCTCACAGGCACTGGGAGGGTTGGGAGCGAGATATATTGGGGTTCTTCTTGGTGAAAAATAAGTACTGGTGAAGGGAAATGTGTGTGATGATTGCATGACCGAGACTTAAACCTGAAAGCTTTATAACTTTTCCCACAGTGATTCAATAAATTAATAAATTTTAAAAAATTACTTAGCATGCTACTTACCCTTTTTTTTTAATGATCGATACTGAGCATAGTCCCAAAATACTGAATTCTCCTCTTGACGTAGTATATGGCTATTACCTTAAAGGTAATGCTTCCCTCCCTGAACCTAACTTAGTCCATGTGTTCTTCCTTCTGGCATATTAACGAGGACCACGGGAGCAAACACTTGTCTCCCTAAGGTCCAGTGCAGGTGCACTCCGACCAAGAATGATCTGCATTTTCCCTCTGTGAATGCGCACGGTCTGCTGTCTGCTTAGCCAATAGAAGGAGGAGGAAGCATGCCAGCTGGAAGGCTAAGACGGCAAGAAATCCTAGGAAACATCTGCGCCTGGGTTCAGGGAGAGAGCTCAGGGGGCTGTAGCACATGCTTGAGGCCCGGGTCTGCGCCCAGTCTCCTCCTGGCCCAGCAGGTCTAGGGATGGCCCTGGGGCCCCAACAGCTGCCGGCCAAGCAGCACTTTTGGAAAGGGCTGGTTAACTCTTTCAACTTTTCCTTTTGTTTTGTTTTTTTGGTTCCGGGACAACACCCAGTTGTGCTCAGGGCTTCATTATGGCTCGGCAATCAGGGATCAGGGAATCATCCACGGTGTCAGGGATCCCCCCTGGGTCATCTGCATGCAATGCAAGTGGCCGACCTGCTGTCCCATACGTGATACAATGATAAACTGATCTAGTAAAACTCAGTATTACTTTTGTGTTTTCCTGATTGTGAGGGCCAGACCTAGCAATACTGGAGGCCAGCGGGGCTGCTGTTGGAGGAGTGGTGGACTGCATGTGTGATAAACACTCAACTCTGGATCAAAACCAGGTGCTACAAACGCAAATGTGTTTTCCCAGTCTGAGCTACAGTCCTAGCCCCTAGCATTAGTTTTATTCAAGTAACATATACAACAACTGGCATTACTCTTCTCCTTTCTAAAAATGAACCGAGTGGTTAAATCACGTAAAAGGGGGGGACGAATGTACAGAAAACAAGGAAAGAGACCAATCTTTACAGGCACACTTAATGTACTACATGCATATTGATTTATGAGGCTGTATTCCTGAAACTTATACAGTGGTTACAATGTACCAATACCTCATTAAATTTTTCTTAAAAATATAAAAATGTGGGGCCAGAGCAGTAGTACAGTGTGTAAAGTGCTTGTTTTGGTGCGCCATATGGTCCCATTGAGCAGATGCAGGAATAAGTTCTGAGCACAGGTGTCACCCCAAATCCAAAATAGAAATAATAATAAAAATGTAAATGAACCGAATAAGGATATCTAGAAATTAGACATGGGAAATGGCTTTTTTTTTTTCAGCTTCCCACAATTTTATATGTACTGAAATATAAGATAGCACAGTGGTAGGGCATTTGCCTTGAGCGCAGCCAGCCCAGCCGAGCCGGGTTCGATTCCTCTGCCTCTCTCGGAGTGCCCTGCAAGCTACCGAGAGTATCTCGCCTACACAGCAGAGCCTGGCAATCTACCCGTGACATATTCAGTATGCCAAACACAGTAACAAGTCTCACGATGGAGACGTTACTGGGCCTGCTCGAGCAAATTGATGTACAACAGGTGGACAGTGTGTCTGACAGCTGAAATATAAGAAAGCCAGCTACAACCCAATGCTCTACCATGAAGGTGACCAGTATTCTTCAAGTGAGCCAAACCAAAGATTATTTCCAACAACCCTTCCTACAGCATGACAGGAAGCCACTTAACATACCTGATAGCTCTTGGACACACACTATAGTTTTCCAGCCTTCCAGTCTATCCCTTCACCTACAATGACCAATCTCCATGAAGCCTTTATGGCTATGCTTTTTTCCTAATGAGCTTCCCCTATACAACGCGACTCTACAATCTCAGACAGAACTGCAGAAATGTTTTTAGGATAGTTAGGGTAGTATGGGGTTTGTCTGTTTGTTTGTTTTGAAAGGGGGGCAGCTGGGACACACAGTGGTCCTCAGGGGTTGCTATGGCAGTGCTACATGGGGAGCCAGGGGTCAAACTGGGGTCAGCTGCATGCCAGGCAAGCACCTTAATTCCTGTATTGTATCTCTGGTTCCACTTTTATGACACTTTTAATCACTGGTAAATCATTTTCTCCCTCAAAGTTCTTTAAGCCCTGAGTAATTATTTTTTGTATCCCTTAAAACTTAAAATATTAGAGAATGTAAACAATTCTATCATTTTATGCAATTCGAGCTTGCAAATAAAATACTATTTATTTTGGTTTGGGGCTATTCCCAGCAGTTTTCAGGAGCTACTCGTGGCCTGGTGCTCAGGGGCAGGTACTTAGAGGATCATGCAGTATCAGGAATCAAACCTGGGCATCACACTGCAAGGCAAGTACTGTACCACTGAGCCAAGTCCCATATAGTGCCCTCAGTCCAACCAGGAGTGGTCCCCAAACAGGAAGAAAAACAAAAAGGAACTGGCCTGTGAGACAGCAGATAGTACAGGAGGTAAGGCACTTGCCTTACCTGTGGCCAAACCCAGCTTGATCCCTGGCACCACAAACAATCCCCTATCACTGCCACGCGTGGCTCCACCCCACCACCACCTCCACCCAAAACATGAAAAACTCTAAGTATCCATGTGTGTTGGCCAATATTCAACTTCAGTTCACTCTTACTGAACGCATCCAGTGCCAATACCACAGACCACCCGACGACCGGCCCAGCGCTGCCCTCTGAGCACACACACGCAGCCCCTTTACCTTGCTCATGTTCCAAGAGCTGCAGGGCTTCCACACCATTACTCCCAGAAGGTCCTGCTCCAAGCTCTGAGACAGACTCTCCCTCTAGGTCTAAAGAGGATACTGAATTGGATCGATTTGATGGACCTGGAGAAATGTAACACTGTCAGTGATCTTTGTTTGACATCCTGAGCCACCGTGCAGTTTTCCACGCCATCACATGACACCAAAGACTAACGCGCTCCCAAGGACCGAAGAGACAGCACCGCGGGGAAGGTGCTTGCTGTGCATGCAGCCAGCCAACCTGGATTCAACCCCTGAGACCACATATGGTCCCCCAGGAGAGATCCCTGAGCACAAAGCAGGAAGTACTGGCCTGAACACAGCCAAATGTGGTTCCAAGCGCCCCCCCACCCCACACACACCAAGATTAGTTAAGAAAAAAATAAAGTGCTCTTATTACTAAATTTATATCTTAAAAATGTACATGTTCTCAATAGGGCCAGAGAAATACTAACAGAAGGCCCTTGCCTTGCATGCAGCTGACCTGGGTACAATCCCCAGTACAACATGTGGTCTCCTGAGCACTGCCAGGGGTCACTCCTGAGCACAGAGCCGGAAATAGCCCCCTGATCACTATCAGTGTGGCCCAAATCCCCAAAATTGACACGTCCTAAAACTGAGTAATGAATGAGAGGAGGGTGCAGGTAGAGTTAGCACAGGGTAAAGGGGCACACCCTGCACATGGTAGGCCCTGGTTCAATTCTTGGCACCTAAGAATTGCCACACGGGTACAGTCTTGGAGGTTCCCCAAGCACCACCAGGGTGATCCCCAGAACCAAAGGGTGCAAGCGCTGAGCACCATGTCGGGCCTTGCATTGCCCATGGGCCTCTGAAGCACTGTCTGGGAGCCCCCCACCCCACCAAACAGAAAGTCCCTATGCCCTTTAAGTTAACAATTTTGCTTCTAGAAATAAATCCTTGGGATCAAATAAAAATTCGTCTAAGGTTCCATGTTACAAGCCGCTTACATCTGACGAGTAGAGTGACCTGCATGTTTAATCATAGAAAAAAAATCTGGTTTTGTTTTTATGCCACACCCAGCTGCGCTCAGGGTTTACTCCTGGCTCTGCACTCAGGGCTCATTCCTGGAGCGTTTGGGGAGACCATACAGGTCAGGCAAGCTCCCTACCCACTGTTCTGTAGCTCTGTCTCCATAGTAAATATTAAAATAAATTATAAAAATATATACAAACAATAAATAGTAATTAAAAAAACTGAGGTTAAAGAAAATAGCCACTTACAATCTCATTACTTAAGAATGTTAAATTACAAAGGGAAATTTACTGTTTCACAATGAGAAGTTATAGAAGAGAATAAAGGTCTTGTTATAAATAAAAATGTTTAAAGGCTATTAATAAAATGGTAAGATTAAAGATGATTCTAATTCTTTTTGAAATGTCTAGAATGAACGCACATTACTTACATGTTTCAAAAAGTTAGAGAAAAAGGAAGTTATGTTTCATTTTTATTTTAAAACACTAGTAAACTTGAATTTTCCTTAGGGCCACAGCTGTCAATGGCGGTGGAGGCTCCTCCTGGCCCCGTGTTGGGGGCAGCCTGGGGGTTCCCAGCAAGCATCGAACGGGCACTGGCCCTCTGAGCTGTCTCCAGCCCTTACTTGAACCTCATGCATTAAACAAAGTTTGTCCCAGTACATGCAGAATGGCACACTCTTACTTCCCAGTTGTGGCTTTTGTCTTTTTATTCCATTTCCACTGTATCTTTCTGCTTCATAAAAGAGCAGACAGACATGGAAATATCTACACAGATATGTGTAGATAAGGAAATGCAGACTGTTACAAGTACATGCCATGTTCCGAGATACCAGTGAGCCCCCTTCTCACTGCGGCATGCATAGGTCCCTCTAAAGGAGCACTATAAGCTTCTAGAGAAACAAAACTTGCTATTACTCTACTAAAATCCCAATGAAGATTTATTTCTTCTCCATTATATATGACCAAGGGTCTCTTGCAATCTTAATTTTCTTCAAGAAACAATCTTTGCAGCCAACTGTTCACTATCATTAGAGGAAAACTTCATTACTCTCCTCAGTGAGAGGCACAGATGGCATAATTATAATTTATAAGGCTCCTTTAAAGAATGTAGACAAAATATTACTTGAACCACACAACTCCTTGAATGAAGTAACCCTTCACCTTCAGATATTCCTTCCAGATTATCACTGCAGAGGGAAAAGCGCAAGGTTTTATCAGGTTTACCGTGGAGTTTGTTTTCATCGACAGGGACATCTCCTTGTCCTCCATCCGAAAGCTGCATGTTTAGGACCTGAAACATAAAATGTCATGAGTGTACCATAACACAGAGATCATGGAGAAGAAACCAAGCCACAGCAACTGCAAATCTAAGTTCTTTATATCAGATTTTCACTTCAAATTAAAAGCCCATTAACGAGGTTCTGACCAAGCATTTAAGTACCCCTGGAACTTATATGCAAACAGAAGCCCATGCCATTCCGCCCATCACTCTGATATCAGAACTAGGAATCAGCCCCTGGGTGAACACAGCTGGGACTGTAGGAATCAGAAGGCTTTGTCAGCAGGTCAACCCTTCTTGCTCTGCTAGATACCAACTACACGACCCTGTCTAAGTTATTTACGCTTGCCCAGCCTTAGTTTCTGCATCAACAAAATTATGACCGTAACTCTTTGTACACCAAAGAGTTACTAAGGACTAATCAAACATGAAGGGGCCATGGAGCTAGCTCAAAGGGCCGGAGTATAAGTGTGGCATGTGCAAAGCCACATGTCCAACCCCAGGCACCACACATTCCCTAAGGACCACCACGTGTGGTCCTGGTGATCCCTGAGAGCCTCTTCGGGGGTCCTCTTGGCACTGATGGGCCCACACTGAACCATCCAGTCCACACAGCTGGGAAAGTACTGCTGAACGTGACCCCAAGTGAGCACTGCTTTGGAGACCCCAAAAATAAAAACAAAAAGATACATATAAAGCATCTGCGATGGTAAAACAACATATTAAATTTGCAGCACATTTTATTCAAAAGCTTCTAAGCTGATTCAACATGAAAAAAACCTGCATACAAATTGTCTTGTTGGTCACTAAGATTAAATCAGTGTCCATGGACTTTCCGTTCTAACACCATGTCCACAGCCTCCCCAGAAACTCAACTGTGACTGCACAACTCTGTCCAGCTCAGAGCTAACAGCTTTTTCATAGCGTTTTCTATTTGTTAATTTCCAAATGACATAATGACATTCATTCCCCAGAGGCCCCATAACTCAATGTTCTATGTACTTCTCCAACTTAATAAGGAACTTAATGCTTTCTTAAGAGTCACACCAAATGATTTAAGCACCCTTGGAACTTGAACATAAAGCCACTAGGCTTTTGGGGTCGTGCTGGGGGATTAAAGAATACTCCCTTTAGGAAAAATCACCAAGAAAACCTCTTTAAGTGATATTCTGACCCTGCATTTTAAATGAGCAAAGTTTTTTTTAATGTTTCTATATATTCATGAGTATGATGTATAAAGTCATTTTAAAGTAGAACCCTGGGGGGTGAAGCAACAGTACAGCAGGTAGGGCGTTTGCCTTGCACACAGCCGAGCCAGGTTCGATCCACAGCATCCCAAAAAGTCCCCTGAGCACTGCCAGGAGTTATTCCTGAGTGCAAAGCCAGGAGTAATCCCTGTGCATCCCCAGGTGTGACCCAAAAAGCAAGAAAAAAAATAGAACTTTGGGTTTGGGGTTCACAGGCTTGGCAGTCACACTTTGTATTCAGAAGCCCCCGGTTCAATCCCTGGCCCTGGCCCTGCACTGACCCCCAAGCACCTCCAGGAGCAGGTCAAAGTGCTAGAGTACACTGTTTCACTCCAAAGCAAAAAGAAGAGACTCTTTCCCTATTTGCTTCAAATTAAAAACTGTAGCACTGTAGCACTGTCCTCCCGTTGTTCATCGATTTGCTCAAGTGGGCACGTCTCCATTGTGAGACTTATAACTGTTTTTCACATATCGAATACGTGACGTGTTATCTTGCCAGGCTTTGCCATGCGGGAGGAATACTCTCGGTAGCTTGCCGGGCTCTCCGAGAGGGGCAGAGGAACAGAACCCGGGTCAGCCACGTGCACAAACATAGAAAATCTTAATTTTGTATTTTAAGACAACTTAGACCCTTAAATTCATTACAGCAAGTGATCCATGACAATCCTTGGGAAAAGTCTTTTTTCGTGTATGGCACGTGGAATCAAACCAGGACTCACAAGACTTGTTTCAGCTCTCCTTTGATTGCTATTTCTATTCTTTCTATATAGCATTGGCTTTTTAATTTCAAATTTCAAATGACTCTTATGTAAGTGAATCCTATTGGAGCAGGGGAGGTTGAACCATACTCAGCCATGCTCCAGGCTTACTCCTGATTCTGTGATCAGGGATCACTTCTGGTGCAGCTTGGGGAACCATATGTGGTGTCAGGGAGGGAACCAGGTCAGCCACATATAAGGCAAGCACCTTACCTGCTCTATTATCTCTATGTTCTCCCAACCACCTACAGAAGTGACCCCTGGGTGCCGAGCCAGGTGTAAGCCCTGAGTATAGTTGGGTGTGGTCCAAAACCAATTATTTGCGGGGGAGGGGGGTCTTCAATGCTTTTGACAAATACCATCTGTAAAGCTGCCTCGGTCCTGGGGGGAGATCCTAAACAAGCTTAACTTTGGGAGTCTGATCATCCCTTTTCCTGGCATGCTACAATTTTTCCTTACTGTTTTGATTTTGGGCCCCACTCAACTATAGTCAGGAATCACTGCTAGCAGGCTCAGGGCAGTCTTGGGGGACCATGATGGGCATCAGGAATCAAACCCAGGTCAGCCAAATGCAAGGCAAGTGCCCTACCTGCTGTACTATTGCTCTGGCCCCTCATGCCACAATTCTGAAAACTGTTTTATCATCATTTTCTCAACTACTGTAACTGGTCCCTCCTTCCCAGGCAATCCCTGAATCACAGCACTCACTGTTGAACAGTTGTGTTGACTCAGCTGTTCTTTCAGGAAGGCACACAGACTTTTTTTCCTTTTTTTTTTTTTTTCAGGGAGCTACAAATAGGAGGATCCCACCATTCAAGAGGCAGAGTTCTTCTATCTTTTTGCCTCTGTCACAAGCTCTTCTGTTTATAAATACCTTAAAACTGATAACAATACACTCAATCCTAAAGTATCTTACTTCCTTAATTCTCTTTTCAGTTATCTCTTCCACTTCTTACTAAGTGGCCAAAAAATAGCATTTCGAAAGAAAGCTTAGCTCTTGAGAGCATTGTAAGGAATATATCATTATATCATTATAAGGAATATCATGCATATTATTATACATGATACACATTATACATGATAAGGAAACAAATATAAAATGTTTCATATAAGTCACTAGGACAGGCTCTTTAATTCCATGACATAATTTTCTCGCTTTCTATCTCTACACTACTGCTATACTAAGAAAATTCTATTTTGGTGAGTAGCTGCTAACTAGCTTCAGAACTATGTGTGTACGTGTGTGTAGGTTTTGGGGTCACACCTGGTGGGACTCAGGGCTTATTCCTGGCTTGGTGCTGAGGGACCTTTTGCAGTGCTGGGGATCAATCCCAGGTTGACTACATGCAAGACAAGCACCTTACCTGATGTTCTATCTTTGTACAGGGCACCCAGAAGCGCAGATATACTAACGTGAAGGGTCTATAGAATTATTAGCAGGAATTTAATGGGGAGGGGGGGGTTTTGGTTGGTTGTTTGGGGGACGGGCCACACCCAGCAGTACTCAGGGCTTATTCCAAGTTCTGTCTGTGCTCAACGGTTATTCCTGGCAGGCTCAGAGAACCAAATGCAGTGTTGGAAATCAAACTGGGCTGGCCACATGCAAGGCAAGCATCTAATCCCTATACTAGCTCTATGGCCCGGTGATTAGTGTTTAACAGTGAGTCACTCAGGCACACTGAAAATGGCAAGACAAATTCATTAAAGGCATACTGATTATAAAAACAGACTGCGCTGACTAGAAGAGCATCTAAACTTCTAACTTAATAACTGTTAGGTTAAATGCGACTCTGATGCCTCCGTACCTCGGTTTCTGACATCATCCCTGGAGTGAGCTGTGGGCCTGTCCCTAGGGAAATGACCAACACTTCTTCTGGCTGTATTTCCTGGATGGTTTCCTGAGACGACCCTTCATGGTCCATGTGTAAGTCCATAAGCACATTGGTGCGGCTTTTGCTCCGAGCTGCTAATGAAAAATTGAGTTCAAACAAGGTAATTTAGGGGAAAAGACAAAAAAAAACCAAAATGATAGACTAAATACCAAAATTAATTTTCTATTAATGTAGACTGTGCATGCACAAAAATAAAGTGATGAAAATATGAATGAGAAAAGTACTAGATCTTCCAAGATACTCTACTGATGGTGAATTCAATGGTCCTTTAAAACTAATAATCAGAAGCAATAATCCACTGAGTGACAAATAATCCACCAGCAGGTCAGCAAGCACATCCAGATCTATTGAAGAGTCAGGGTGACAAGAAAAGCATCACCTTATTTCTTCTCAAGATAACTGCAATACTTTCTCCAGCAGAATGATTTAAATGCCAAATGTTTCCCGAAGAATTAAGAATTTGACATGGAAATCTTTCTGAAATGCATTAACCTCTTCCAAAGACGCAGGAGTGATTTCCTGGTGTTTAAATGCTTTATGAGAACATTCTAAACTAATGACAGTTCTGATTATTTTGGAGGATTTTGTTCTTGTCTGTAAGTAATGCTTTTTTTCTAAAATAATTTATCATGCAGATCTTTCAGAGAGATCTGGGCACTGAAAGCTGTAGAAAGACTGTGACAATTTCTCTAAGTTTTAATCTTCTGGGATGTTTCAATTTTCTTTTAGGGTATAATAAAATTCATTAAACCAAAATACTAACTAGAAATTCTCTTTCAGCATGAAATCACCAAAAGCACAAACATTTGGCAAAAATAATCCATAGTAACAAAAGCCTTTCAATGCCATTGGGGTAAAGGCTTGAAGAAGAAAATACAGTCATTTTTTCGTCAGCACTACCAAGCCGGCATTGATCAATATTAGGCTCAAAATTCAGAGTACACAACAACTTCTAAAACTTCTAAAACAGGTTCAGAGACCATAGCTAGGAACAGAAACGTTCTTTCCTCAATATATTCTACCGAAGTAGATGTGTATTCAAATCCAACTTAATAAAAAACTACATGAACCTTAAATTTAAACATTTATCCATTATAAAAATGCAAGTAATAAAATGTAGGCAGCGTTTACACAAAGCAAAAGCAACATGCAAATGGAACGCACATTTATCAACCATTCCTTAGGTGACAGTTAGAGGAGAGAAGTACAGCCTATTACCCACCAAATGGGGTTACTAGAGTAATGTGAGCAGTGAGGTTGGTGGCTGAGGACTCCCAGGCAGTGATGGCTGCTAACTGTTGTCCTGGGATGCGAGAGCAGTAAACAGAAAGAAGGTCAACCCTTTGAACAGTGGACACTTTCCAGAAATATGAAATAAACACAATGAACAAGTCCTATGACTATGCAAAATAACCATGGCCAAATAACGAAAATTTACTTTCCAGCCGCCCCATACTTAATGAAATTCTGGATGAAATGAAAGAACTAATGTATTGGAGTGAAAAAGTGAAGGGGAAAAATTCTCTGGTTTACCAAAAAAAGTGTATTTCTTTATATTAATGAAGTATAAACTGCATGTAGTATTCAAAATTGAGTAAGGATTGGCAAGACAGATCAGTGAGACGAACATGTGCTTTCCATTTGCGGCCAGGTACAGTCCCTGGCACGACATATTGAAAGTAAAACTTCGTTTTTGTCAGGTTACCAGAAAGATCGTAAAGCGGGAAAGGTGCCCGCCTTGCACACACCCAGGCCAGGTTTGACCCCAGGCACCACGCAGGGCCCTCAAGCCCCATGAAGAAGGATCCCTAAGTGCAGAGCCAGGAATAAGCCGTGAACACTGACCAGTGTGGCGCCCCGCCCAAAAAATAAAAATAAAAAACGTATTTTCTCTACTTTAATTCTGAAAATAACTGGGTATGACAAAAATCAAAGCCTCAAAGCCTTGAAGAAATAATGGTACATTCCTGAGGATATAATTCCATTGGGCCAAATGCAAGGTAGATTAGTTTTTTTTTTTAATGACAAATCTTTTTTCTTTTTAGTAAAATAAAACAATTTTATTTAAAGAAATTTACTTAGATATGTAAGGGGAGAAAGAGTGAGGGAGAGAGGAGAGGGAGACGGGGGGGAGAAGGAAGGGGGAAAAGAGAGAGAGAGAGAGAGAGAGAGAGGGAGAGAGAGAGAGAAAGAGGGAGAGAGAGAGAAAGAGGTGTTCAAGAGAGAACATGGGCTTTTCCAGTGTGGAAAAAGTCAGAAACTGACAATGCGTAACAAATCTGCTCCTGGAAGTTTAAAAATTAAATCCCAGTGCTAGGGAGATAGCTGAATGGCTGGAGCATCTGTGTCACATGTCACATGCTGAAACCCCAAATTTGATACCTCATTCCACAATGGTCCCCTAAGCACTGCTGGCAATAATCCCAGCACTGATCTGGAAGTAATCTCTGAACACCACTGTGTGTGAAATAAACAGCCCTGCCTCCAGAAAAGAAATCCCATTCTTCAAAATATGAGATATAATACCTAATCATGCTCACTAACTATTGCGGAGCATCTTAATACCATTAAAATCTTGGTAGTGGAGACCACTCTTACACATACGAGATATTGGGTTCAGTGTCCAGCACGGGGAAAAACAAAAAACAAACTGTACCGGGGTTATGGGACATGCCTCGGATTCAGTCCCCCGCACCACATGGCATTCTGAGCATCATAGGGTGAGGCCCGGTGGTCCCTGACACTGCAGGGCTGGAGCAGCACTGAACCTGAGTGTCCTGGCACTGAACTGCTAGCCTGGTAACCCAGTTGGCTGAGCTAGGAGTGACCCCGAGGTCCTCTGGGCACCACACAGGAGGCCCCAAAACAGTGGCACTAAAGAACCCTGGTCCCTTACCTAAACAATCTTTCCTCAAAAAATAAAAGGGGGGAATAAAAAAGAGAGGGGGTGAACCCCAAAACCATTCTTTCTAGTTTATTCAAAACTCCATGACACCAACTCAGTCCCCACAGCCCGAGATGCGTGTCTCCACTACATGCTTAGGACACGCAGGTACCAGCCTCTTCTCTTCACCTAGACTTCTGACCCCAAAATTGAGAATAAGAGCTGTCCTAAGATTTCTGTACTCCAGTGTCCCACCTGCAAGAGAGTAATGATACCAATTATCCCAGGACTTTGTGTGGCTTGAGTGAAACACATATAAGTCCTTATCAGTGTCTAGCACATGGATACTCACATGGAGCGAGTGGGTGCACACAGGTGCACACATGTACCAAGTGAAATTAAACCTATTTCTAGAGATTAACCTGCTTTGTCATTGCACTCTAATACTTTAAAAAAAACTGGACAAAATCAAATAAAACCTTTGCATTATTTTATAAAGTAAACAAAGGACTGATTATTAATACCAATGACGGAGAAAAGTCACTATTTTCCATTGCACACTGGAGGAAACATCTAGAGTATCATTTTATCGCATTATTATTATTTGGAACTTTGTATAACGGGCAGACTAGATAATTTTAAAAAGGACTTACATGGTATTTTAAATTCTTTTTAAAGAAAAGACTCTAAAATCTGAGCAGATCTAAGTTGTGGGTAGCACGGAGGCTAGTGAGATAGTATAGCAGGTAAGGCACTTGCCTTGCACGCAGCCAACCCAGATGCAATCCCAATTCCATGAGTGATCCTTGAGCACAAAGCCAGTAAGCCCTTAGTTCTGCTGGGGGTGGCCCAGAAACAACCCAAAAACACAAAATCAAATTAATTATAAAAAAGAATATCCACATAAGATTAAAATCTACTGATAAGCCTTCCTTAACCTTTAGGATTTGATGAAACTGAATCAGGATTTGTAAACAAGAAGAGAAAGAATTTTCCAAGTTACTTTTAAAACACCGAGCCTAAAATAGGTTAAGGAATCCTAGGTTTAAGGGAGAACCTCAATACGGAAAGTCCTCTTTACCTATAGGCAATCGATTCTTCTTATTTGCGGGGGTTGTTGCCGGTGAGAGCTGGGGAGTACTGTAGGGCGTCATTTCTAGGCTGCTGCTCTTCCCTGGCTTGGCCTGGGGTAAATTGGCCAGTAGATTGTCAAGAGCCATTCTGTCTTCCCTCAGCTGATCTCCAGACATCACACTCTTCATAAAATTCACCTGGCAAAGGAAAAAGGCTATCAGCTAGAAAAGATAAATTTTCAATCCTGGTATCTATTTCACACACGATGTACTCATCTTTGTCTCTACCCAGTCTTAGGTAAAAGACTTCTGAGAAAATCCTATTAAAAACTAAAGTCTAGGGGCAAGAACAATAGCACAGCGGGTAGGGTGTATGCCTTGCATGTGGCCAACCTGGGTTCGATCCCCAGCACCCTATAAGGTCCCCCTGAGCCTTCCAGGAGTGATCCCTTAGTGCAAAGCCAGAAGTAAGCCCCGAGCAAAGCTGGGTGCATCCCCCGAGCAAAACAAACCCAAAAAATAGATAAAAAATAAAGTCTGGGACTGAGCCTAGCAGGTACAGAAGGTAGGGTGTTTGCCTTGCATGCAGCCGACCCAGGTTCAATCCTCGACACTCCATACAATCCCCTGATCCCTGCCTTCAATGATCCCTGAGCACAGAGCCAAAGGAAGTCCAGAGCACTGCTGCCTGTAGCCCAGAAACAAAGATAAAACAAGTCATGGGGGCTAGCGAGAGCACTCAGGGGTCAGGGACGTGTATTCAGTCTCTGTCATGGTAGCCCCCCTGAGCACCACTGGTTGTGGCCGTGGAGACTCCAGAGGGGACTTGGTGATGGCCAGCACAGCATTACTGAGTCCAAGAATAGGACTGCTGAGCCTCGGGGTTGGAGAGAGGGCCTCCTTGCCCACGGCTGACCCGGGTTCAATCCCAGGCACCCCATATGGTCCCCAGGTCATCACTAAATGTGATCCCTAAGCTGAGCCAGGTACAGCACAAAATCATAACAAAAAGAACTATTGAGCCTGGTTGCCAAAGTATACTCAGGAGCTGACCCAGACATTCACTCCAGTCCACCAAAGTGAAAAATAATAATAAAGTCATAGGGCTGGGGAGAGCACCAAGAGGCAGAAAAGACACTTAATATAGTACACGCAAGGCCCAAGTTCCATGCCCAGGACCACAAGTCCCGTCCCCGCCACACCCTCGTCCAGGTATCCCCCACTCACATGTCCCCCCACTCACCCAGATTTTTTTTTAAAAGTTTAAGACAATAAAAATGAAGTCATTACCAGAGTTAGAAGCTGACTGTAGGTTATGTAAACCACGGTTCTGCTCAAACCTTCCAGAAGGTTAACGGAGGACAGAGGAGGCGTCTCCACTGCACGGCCCCCAATGACCACATCAAGGAAAGCAGCAACACAGCCCTGTTATAGCAAGGACATCACAATGAACCCCCACAACACGGTAGAAGGTAAGCCAGCAGCCAGGAAGCGTTTCTGAAAACCGTATTGAACCCAGTATTGAAGAAAACAAACTTTATAACTCGAGAACAAGCTCCGAGACAATCTGGTGAGCAATAAAAGACTGATCTCTCTGCTACCAGTCAGGAAAGGGGCGGGAAGGGGTGAGTGGGAGATCAGATATAGGAATCTAGAAAAATACACAAAAAATAATAATATCAAAAACCTTTTTAGGGGGACCAGAGCAATAGTACAGCATTTGCTTTGCACGTGGCTGACCCAGGTTTGATCCCTGGCACCCCTGGTGGTCCCCCAAGCACTGCCAGGAGTAAGCCCTAAGCAGAGCCAAGTGTCTCAAAACCAAACAGAAAGAACCTTTTAAGGAAGAAATGTAGACTAGAATTCAGAGGTGAAAGGGAAATTTCACTGGATAACCTTTGAATTTCCCCGTAGGGTGAACACACAGCCTACTCCAAATATAATTAAAATTTTATTACTATGTGAAACAACACTACAAAAGCTAACCAGCAGTTAAAAGGCTTAGTAATAAAAGCTACAATTCTGTTGATTCATTTATACATTTGTTTTTGTGACATTTTAAAGAATCAAACTTAAAAACACACCATTGATAGTTCTTTGATTCTAGCTACAATGGCATCTCCTTAATGTTTCTAGAAATGAGACCTAGTTATCTTTGTTTTCCACTGAGGTTCTGTGATTTTCCCTGCCATGACTGGTGGTTCCCATGCACTAATTTCACCACCCCACCCATCACCAGAGTCCCCACCTCCTTCCCTGGAGACCCTGTTATCTTTATGACATCTTTTACGTGCTGCTGGGCCAATACCTTATACAACATACTTTACACACAAACCACAAAATAACTGCGACCAATATTTCACTGATAACTTGCTACAGGCAATACTTAATGAACAGAAAAATTAGGCTCACACTTTGGCAAGGGTCTACAACATCATTTCACACTACGCAGTCTTCATGCTTACTTTGTCAAATTTTCCCAGGCTGCTCTTTGTCCGGGGATCCCCCTCTTCCGAGCCAGTCATTGCTAACTGCTGCAAAAGGCGGCCAACCTGCAAAGCGACAGGAGAGAGACACTGAGCTGGGCTTTCCAATTCCCGTGAAGCCTCCCGTTCATTCCAAACATCTCGCTGGAGAGACTAAAAATCAGTGAAATGTGTATCTTGCTTCGATCAGTTTTTTCTGATGCCAGTGCTGCATTTTGTATTAATTAAGCCACATTCAAGTGAGCACCAACAGAGATATATGCTGACACTGTATTAAATTGCTACTGGAATGACAAAATTTAAATGACAAGTACATTAAAAGAATAAAGTTTCATGTTTTCACAGCTAACAATTTTTTTTTTCGTTTTATTTTAGGGATTTTTATATGGTTAACTGCAAAGCATGCTAACATGACAGAACATATTATCATTAAATTTTTTTTTTAATTTAAAAAGTATTGATTTTTAAATCATTAAAAATTTTTAAAACTCGGGGACTGGAACGATAGCACAGCGGGTAGGGTGTTTGCCTTGCATGCAGTTGACCCGGGTTCGATTCCCAGCATTCCCTATGGTCCCCCAAGCACCACCAGGAGTAATTCCTGAGTGAAGAGCCAGGAGCAACCCCTGTGCATCGCCGGGTGTGACCCAAAAAGAAAAAAAAATTTTAAATCATTAAAAAATTATTTTAAAAAATTAGAAAAGAAGGGGCTGGAGCAATAGCACAGCAGGTAGGGCATTTGCCTTGCACGCGGCCGACCCGGGTTCGATTCCCAGCATCCCATATGGTCCCCTGAGCACCTCCAGTGTTAATTCCTGAGCACAGAGCCAGGAGTAACCCCTGTGCATTGCCGGGTGTGACCCAAAAAGAAAAAAAAAATTTATAAAAGAAAAATTATTCACAAATAATTGAGGAACCCAACCTCCTCACAGTATTCTGAGAGGTCTGATATAATTACAAATTCTCTTAAGAAATAATAAAACAGGGACTGGAGCAACAATACAGTGGGGAGGGCATTTGCCTTGCACACAGACAACTTGGATTCAATCCCTGGCATCCCACATGGTCCTGTGAGCAGTCAGAAGTGATTCCTGAGTGCAGAGCCAGGAGTAACCCCTGAGCATCACCAGGTGTGACCCAAAGAGCAAAAAAAAAGAAAAAGAAAGAAAGAAAGAAAGAAAAATAAGTATAAAATAGAGGCTAGAAGCAGTACAGCAGGTAATAAGCTTGCCTTGCAGGTGCCTGACACAGGTTCAATCCCTGGCACTCCATATGGTTCCCCAAACCCTGCCAGGAGTGATCTCTGAGCACACAGCCAGGTATGACCACAAAACAAAACAAAATAAAAAATAGCACTGTAGCACTGTAGTCCAGTTGTTCATCAATTTACTCAAGTGGGCACCAGTAACGTCTCCATTGTGAGACTTGTGACTGTTTTTGGCATATAAATTATACGATGGGGAGCTTCCCAGGCTTTGCCGTGCGGGTGGGATACTCTTGGTAGCTTGCCGGGCTCTCCAAGACGGGCAGCGGAATTAAACTCGGGTCAACCTGGTCAGCCGCGTTCAAGGCAAATGCCCTACCTGCTGTATTATTGCTCCAGACCGAAACAAATAATAATAACAATAATAATGAATGGGGCCACAGAGATAGCACAGTGGGTAAGGTTCTTGTCTTACATGCAGCCAACCAAGGTTCAATCCCCAGTACCCCAACAGGCCCTCAAACACTGCAAGGAGTGATCTCTGAGCACAGACCTAGAAGAAGTCTTGAGCACTGTTGGGTGTAACTCCCCGCCCCACCACACACATTTAAAAATAAAAAGTAAACTAGGGGTCAGAGAGATAGTATAGCACCTGCTTTGCAGGTGGACAGCCCAGGTCTATCCCTGGCATCACCAAGAGTGACCTCTGAGCACAGAGCCAAGACTAAGCCCTGAGCACCATCAGGTATGGCCCAAAACCAAAAGAGAACATTAGTAATACAATTAAAAATAGTACAGCAAAAATAACGCCAATGTAGATGGAAAAATTCTTTTCCTGAAACTTCTAGGTCCAGACTGAGTTTCAGGACTTAGAATCAAAGACTCAGGAAGAAAGATCCGGCTTGGCGGTGTGAGAATCACCAAGCACAACACCCTGGGTTACTTAGATCCCCAGCATGGCAAAGAGAGAGAACATAGAGCAGGGTCTGGTGAGTTTAGAAAGGCAGGTGAGTGCCTGTGTGTAACACATCCAAGGCACAGAGGAATGTCCTGTAATCAAACGCACAAACATGTCTGCAGAAAAACGCATAAAAATGTCTGCAGAATATTCATTAGCAGTAAAAGGAATAAGCAACAAATACCAACAGCCCAGCATTAGTTCAGGTGATACTATAAAAAAATATATGACCCTTTATTTTCAATCATTTGGGATTTTGAAACGATGGAAAAGGGATGATGAACTTATTCCAGAAAACAGAACCATGCATTCATAGTAAGCAAAGACACTGTCTGAAAATTAAATGATAGGGTCGGGGATATAGCTCATTAGAGTAGAGGGCATCATGTCTCACATATCTCAAGTCCTGGGTCCAACCTAGATATCAAAAAGCATACATATATAATAACCAAGTTTTATTAAAAAAAAAATTGAGTCACTAGTAGGGGTGCTACACCTGGCAGTGTTCAGGGCTGACATTTCAAAATGCTCAGCTGGAGACAACATAGAATTAAGGCACTGGCTAATCCCAGTTTGAACCCTGGGCACCCCCTGTGGCCCTCTGTGCATAGAGCCAGGTACAGCCCCTTGAGCACTGCTGGGAAACCCCCAAAACTGATTTTTCAAAATCCCAATATGATTGCTTTTATTAATATGAAGCACATATGGCAGTTTGAGGAAGAAAAGGAATGAAAAGAATATGTTACTACCCTCAGTTTCTTTAAACTGACTTTTAAGGAATTGCCTCATTTAGTATCAACAGCAAAAGTATACCTGCATCAGATTAAATCTTGCCACTTCGTTAATGGGAGCATCGGAAATGATCCCGTACTGCTCTGGGTTGACAACTGCAGGACAGATGAAGCAGGCCAGCAGGAGGTCAGTACACATTGCCCTGACCTCCCCTACTTCCAGCCTGTCCACACAGGAAAGGGTTTTGTACATCTGCGACACGATCCACCGCAAACTATGTGGAAAGCAGTATGTGTTCTGCTTGAGATAGCCGATAAACTTGTTCACCAAAGCCACGAGCTTGGCCTCATTGGAATCCACCATCTCCTGAACCTTTTGCCTGAACCTCTCTGAGCCTTTTTCTCCAAAGAGTTTTTCCTGTTGAGCCGGGGAAAACCGCTCAATGAGCTTGTTTGGATCCGTCTCCAGGTGATCTTCATCTTCAACCAGCAGCTGCATGATTGGCTCATGTAAAGTAGCTGTGAGGAAGAGCTTGGCAGAAAAGAGTCCTTCAGAAAAAAGCTTAAACAAGATGCTGAAGGCACAAGTTCCTCGCCTCAAAAGTCGCCTAGGGTTGTCACTTTCTTTAAGTTCAAATTCAATCAAGTATCTCAAAACCTGAAGGAGGTAGCTTTCATCCTCTTGCATAATGCAGTTACCATAGAGGGAGGTAAAGACTGTGTAAATAACACTTTGTGTGTTCTCCTGATTGAGTTTCTCTCCGGCAACCAATGAAGAGGCAATGAGCCGAGGGTTTTCCCGTAATCGACTCAGGAATTCTCCATAAGCAGTCTCCTGAAATCCCAACTGCTTATATCCATCAACAAACTGCGTATCTTCCAAAATCTTGGCATGCTGGCAACATTCAGCGGGGGAAGCTTCCGCACTAACGAGCAAACAAGCAAAATTAAAAAAAAAAAAATTAACAGCCTCAGTGATCTGATACGTATTCTACACTAAAACAGAAATGTGAGCTGACTACAGTCTCAGCAATGAAATCACTCTGAATTCCTAAAATGTTTTATTAGGCCATCATGTTTTTTAATGTGTTAAAAAAAAAAAAACACAAAATACAAAGGAGGAAAAAATGGAAAGACAAAGTCTTTAACCATGTATTTTGTGGGAAATAAATTCCCTCAGTACAGAATTATAATAGCTGATAAGATTTAAGGCCCAGAGGACTCACTCAAGGTCTTCTGCGCATGCCTTGCATGCTTTGCATGCGGGAGGTGCAGCTTTGTTCCTCAGCATCTCCAAACAGTCAGAAGAAGCTGCTGGGACCACCAGGTGTGGGCCACAAACAAAGGAAAACTGAGAAAACAAAACCTTTTCCTGGGCTGGAGAGAAAGCGTGGGGTTAAGCCACTTGCCCTAAACGCAACTGACCAGGGTCCAGTATCCAGCACCAAATATGACCCTTGAGGAATGCCCTGCCACAGTGGCAGGGGGGGATGGGGGGATGGGAGGATGGGGGGGGAGGGATATTATCCTGGTGGTGGAAAATGGGCACTGGTGGAGGGATGGGTATTTGATCGTGGTATGACCGAGCTGGAGCGATAGCACAGCGGGTAGGGCGTTCGCCTTACAAGCGGCCAACATGGCCGACCCGAGTTCGATTCCTCCGCCCCTCTCGGAGAGCCCGGCAAGCTACCGAGAGTATTCGATATGCCAGACACAGTAACAACAAAGTCTCCAATGGAGACGTTACTGGGCCCGCTCGAGCAAATCGACGATCAACGGGAGGGCCTTTACTTTACTTTATGACCGAGATCCAAGCACAAAAATTTGTAAATCTACAACTGTACCTCATGGTGTTTCACTAATAAAAAAAAAATTTTTTTAAAAAAAAATGACCCTTGAGTTCAGAGGCAGGAGGAAGCCCTGCTCTGCTGAGTGTGACCCAAATCCCACCCACCACACCCCACTCAATTAAAAAAAAAAGTTTGTTTTTCTTAAATACCTTTTCCTTGGGCCAGAGAGAGAGAGTACAGTGGGTAGAGCACTTGTCTTGCTAACAGCTCACACACGTTCAATCCCCAGCAACCCATAAGCAACCCCAAGTACCCCCTGGAGTAATTTCTAAGTGTAGAGCCAGGAGTACCCCTGAGCACCACTGGGTATGGCCCCAATACAAAATCAAAAACCTTTTCCTTACCTGGTTATAATAAGTCGATCCAAATTAATTCTCTGTTGCTTAGCAATCCATGCTGTCCGGTACAACTTTTCAGCTGTCTTAAGTACATCTGCATTAAGCCTTTGAATGAGCTGCTTCTCAGAGTTTACATATAAGCGTTCCTGTTTGAGGTGATGGGCCAAAGTATGAATATCCAGTTTCACCATCTTCAAATGTGGAAAAAGATCCAAAGGTTGGTCACTAAGAATTGAAAAACAAATGTTAAAATTATGTCACTAAATTTCCAAAATTAAAAAGGATAGGAAATCATATGAATTAGGGGGCACACAGTATCACAGCTAACTCTAATCTTTAAATTAATCCTTTCAGCCATCTGACAAGGGGTTGATATCCAGATATACAAAGCACTGGTTGAACTCCACAAGAAGAAAACATCCAACCCCATCAAAAAATGGGGCGATGAAATGAACAGAAACTTTCTAAAAGAAAAAATCCGAATGGCTAAAAAAGCACATGAGAAAATGCTCTACATCACTAATCATCAGGGAGATGCAGATCAAAACAACAATAAGATATCATCTCACACCAAAGAGACTGGCCCACATCCAAAAGAACAAAAGCAACCGGTGCTGGCACGGATGTGGCAAGAAAGGGACCCTCCACTGCTGGTGGGAATGCCGACTGGCTCAGCCCTTTTTGGAAAACAGTATGGACAATTCTCAAAAACTTAGAAATTGAGCTCCCATTTGACCCAGCAATACCACTCCTGGGAATATATCCCAGAGAGGCAAAAAAGTACAGTCGAAATGACATCTGCACTTCTATGTTCATTGCTGCACTGTTCACAATAGTCAAAATTTGAAAATAAAACCCTAGTGCCTGAGAACAGATGACTGGTTGAAGAAACTTTGATACATCTACACAATGGAATACTATGCAGCTGTTAGAAAAGATGAGGTCATGAAATTTACATACAAGTGGTTCTACATGGAAAGTATCATACTAAGTGAAATGTGCCAGAAAGAAAGGGACAGACATAGAAAGATTGTACTCATCTGGGGAATATAAAGTAACAGAATGGGAGTCGAACACCCAAGAATAGTTGAGATAAGTACCAGGAGGTCTGCTACAGGGCTTGGAAGCCGGCAGCACATGCTCGGGGGGAAAAGGCAGCTCAAGATAGAGAAGGAAACACCAAGTAAAGGATGTTTGGAGGACTCGCTCGGGATGCGAGATGTGTGCTGAAAGTAGACTATAGACTGAACACATGGCCACTCAATACGTCTATTGCAAACTACAAGACCCTGAAGGAAAGAGTGAGCAAAAGGAAATGCCCTGCCACAGAGGCAGGGTGAGGGTGGGGGTGGGGGACGGGGTGTGGGGGTGGGAGGGCTACAAGGATCATTGGTGGTAGAGAATGGGCACTGGTGGAGGGATGGGTACTTGATCATTGTATAACTGAAACCCAAGCACGAAAGTTTGTAAGTCTACAACTGTACCTCATGGTGTCTCATTAATTAAAAAAAAAAGGGGGGGGGAATAATCCTTTCAGGGGCTGGAGTGATAGCACAGCTGGTAGGGCATTTGCCTTGCATGCGGCCAACCTGGGTTTGATTCCCAACATCCCACAGAGTCCCCCGGGCACCACCAAGAGTTATTGCTGAATGCAGAGCCAGGAGTAACCCCTGTGCATTGCCGGGTGTAACCCAAAAAGAAAAAAAAAAAAAACTTTCATTACAAAAGCATTACAATTTCAATATAGAAAAAAAAGTAAAAATAAAAGCACCAGAGATACAGTATAGAAGTTAGGGGCTTGCCCTTGTATACAGCAGATCTTGGTTTAATCCTGGCACTGCACATTGGTCCCCTGAGCCAGAAGTGACCCCTGAGCACAGAGCAAGGAGTATGCCCTGAGTACACTGGGTATGGCCAAAAACCAAAAACCAAAATGAACAAAAGGAATTTAAAGGAAAAAGAAAAAGAGAAGAATTCCCAGTAAAGCGGCTATAGTCTGCAAGAGACTGCTACTGCTCCCTTTCATTTCACACTGTCACCAGAGTTACGACTGCCGCTTCCTAACACACGTCCTGCTTCCTCTCTGTGCTTCTAAAAGTCTGTTCTAATGCAAGTCCTTTAAACTTCCATCAGCTCACATTATTCCCCTACTACAAACCATCCCAGCTTATTTCAGACTTTCAAATATTATCTGAAGGTGCTACGTACCCTGCCTCTGCCATTCTAGTCTCACATAGACCCACACAAGCTGACTTTCTTGCTTGAGTAGATCCAGATGCCTGGTCCTCAGACCCCTACATCTGCTGACCCCTCTGCCAGTGAGGTGACTATTCTTGCTTAAGGGCCATACCCAGCAGCGCTCAGGGGCCATGCCCTGGTGCCAGGAATGGAGCCCATGCCTCCAGCATGCCAGGAGCCAGAGCACTACAGCCCTATGAGTGACTGCACCAGTGTTCCGCCGGAAGCCTTTGGTTCTTTTAAGACAGCCTGTGCAAATGTCTACTTAGAAAGGCCTCTGGACACTCTTTCTGAAATAGGAAGTATTGCTTCCTATCCCATTAGTCCATTCTTTTAAGCACTTGCCCCTGTCCTGCAGCTTGTAGTGTGGTGTCTTGTCTGTTTTGTTCTGTCGGAGCTGTGATTTCAGGGCTGAGGAGAGGGCCTGATTCACAGCAGAAGTTAAACAAACATTTGCCAAAGGAATAAATGAAAGCACACAATTCTTATTTATCTAGTAACTAAACGGATCCAAAGAGCACACATATTTTAAAGCATTATTACTTAAGCTATACTCCTCAACCTAGAATGCCTGCCAGACCACAAATATTTTGTATCAACTAAAAAGCTTAGTCCAGATAACAGAATACAACCTGGCGTCTAGACAGCAAATAGTCATGACATAGAAAAATACCAGTCATTAAGAGTCATGGGGCTGTGGAGGGGGGCAGGTGAGTCCCCCCACCCACCCTAACAGAGCCCTGGCAGCCAAAAACCTCCAGAACTCAATCACCACCACACTCGGAGCCAACTTCCACAGGCTCTGATGAGCCTCATCCTTGAGTGAATCTGCTGAAACACCCAGGTATGTGGGACTTGTGAACAAAATCTCCAGGCTCGCATAGAGTCAGAAATGGGCAACCTCCCCGCTTCTCCCTGGGCTTCTGATAGCCTGACAGTCATGCCCACAAACTGCCTCTGGCGCCATATAAGCTCATTAATGGTCATGATCCAGACTCACAAATAAATCTCTCAGGAAAGAGCAACATGAGAGCAACGTGCTGTTGAGATGACTCCGGACCCCAAAATCCTACCATCCAGCTAAAACAGTAATTAACCTCGGCTGTATCATATTTAAAATTTCAGAATTCCTAGAGCACACAGCCACATTTGCGGCAACACAACATCTCATACTCCACACCACTGATGTATCAAGACAAGGGTTTAGTGGCTCCAGTATGAAATACAACAATCTTCACACACTTTCCTCTAAGGAAACTTTTTGGATCATTTTTAGCAGATTACTCATAACAAGCAACACAAAATAAATTATTTAGGTCCTGCTTTGGGGGCAGGCTTTGTGGATGGGGTGGAAACATTCTAAATATGGTGGTGGAAAGGTGTAACGGTGGTGAAATTGGTGTTGGAATATAAAATGGAATAAATTATTGTGAACAACTTTATAAAAATAAAATTTTTAAAAATTCCTGGGGCTGAATCAACAGATGGTAGGAACAGTGGGTAAGTTGTCTGCCTTGCACCAGTCAACCCAGGTTCAATCCCTGGCACCACATATGGTCTCCAAAGTCCCACCAGGAGTGATCTCTGACCACAGAGCCACAGGGTCAGAGTAGCCCCTGACCACTGCCAGGTGTGGCCCAAAATCAAACCAAAAAATTTTAATCATTACAATTATATGTGGGCTGGAGCAATAGCACATCAGCGATAGGGCATCTGCCTTGTGCGCAGCCAGCCCAGCCGAGCTGGGTTCAATTCCTCTGCCCCTCTCGGACAGCCTGGCAAGCTACCGAGAGTATCTTGCCTGCACGGCAAAGCCTGGCAAACTACCCGTGACGTATTCAATATGCCAAACACAGTAACAACAAGTCTCAAAATGGAGATGTTACTGGGCCCACTCGAGCAATTCTATGAACAACGGGAGGACAGTGTTTGTTGGGTTGGAGTGATAGCACAGTGGTAGGGCATTTGCCTTGCACAAGGTCAGCCGGGCCAAGCCGGGTTCAATTCCTCCGCCCCTCTCGGAGAGCCCGGCAAGCTACCAAGAGTATCTCGCCCGCACAGCAAAGCCTGGCAAGCTACCCGTGACGTATTCGATATGCCAAACACAGTAACAACAAGTCTCACAATGTTACTGGGTCCGCTTGAGCAAATCGATGAACAACGGCAGGACAGTGCTACAGTGCAGTGCTACGATTATATGCAAAAATTGCTCTAAGAGTAGAAATTGAATGTCTGCACCATAAGAATAAGAAAATGAGGTCAGAACAATAGTACAATAGGAAGGTAGAGGCTGACCTGGGTTTGATCCCTGGCACCCCATATGGTCCCCCCAGCATCACCAGAAGTAAGTTTCTGAGCTCAGCCAGGCATATTGTCACTCCAACCTTATTTAAAGCCATTATATTTTAAAAAACAGATTTAACAATTTTTAATTATTTGATTTTAGAAATTCAAAAAGAACATTCTTAGGACGGGAGGATAGTACATCAGGTAGGGCGCGTGCCTTGCATGCAGCCAACCTCGGCTCTATCCCAACACCACAGACATAAGGTCTCCTAAGCCCTGCCAGGAGTGATCCCTGAGTGCAGAGCCAGGAATAAGCTCAGAGCCCTGCCAGGTGTGACCGCAAAACCAAAAAAAAAAAAAATTAAAATGTCTACTTTACCAAGATGAGTCATTGAGTCACTATTAGGTCAGTAAGAAAAGCATTGTGTACTTCTGAAAAATGGTGACGCGTGCGCACACACATTGAACAGCTAGTTAGCACTAGGACACTTCTCATATCTTCCTGTGAGACCTATAACGTCCTCCAGGGGGCTCTCTGCCCACATAATCTTAGAACAAAACCACAGTGCAAAGGGCTTTCATTATGAGGAGATAATTAATGAAAACAGGACTGCAAATGAATCTTTAAAATGCAAGGCACAGCCTCAAGCACCCCATGGGACAAGGCCAAAAACCAAATGATCAATAGTCTGTAAGGCTCA